AAAAAATTTGTTTTCTCATCATCTCGATAAATAGATTCGCGCAGCGCGCGCGCGCACTTGATCCGGGGTTTGACGGGTTGCACTGCAGAACAGACCCCAGTCGAACGTGAGTTGGCAGCTGTTTGCCTCGGCTCTGAACCTTTGCCGGCGGCTCAGTAACGGGGGTCGCTTGATGTGCTCGGCTCCTGGTGGTTGGCTGGATTGTCAGGGAGGCATTTGTCGTGCTTGATTGAGGACACAGACTGGAGCGCACCGCAGGGCAACTGTGCTGGCATCGGCAAATGGGACTTGGGCGTTTGGGATCAAGTGTTCTGGGCCCTTTGAGACAGCTATAGTGTTTCCGACTCGCATGCACATGCCTTTCCATACCAGCCTCCGAGCTACCGGGCCACAGGCCCCCTGTTACTAGGTGGCTCGTCGGCGTTGTCACCATGACAGAGCATGCCGCGGAGGGGCCCTCGCTGGCGGATGGCCAGCACCGCCGGGCTCTCAACGGTGAGCATGGCCTTGCCATTTAAACATGTCCTTCTTGAATTGCTCTCACGCTTTCCCGACTCTCGACTGTATCGAACGATAGCCCTCTACGATGAGATACGCCGCACCTCAGGTCGCAACAGCGTGCCCAAGTTACCTGCTTTGCAGACCGTAGGTGCATTCATCTCCTGCTGCATGGAAGACATCGATGCCTGGTTCCACATCTACATCTGCGTCGTTCTCTGCCACCTCCATCTCCCTCTCATGCTCACGTGCTGATAGACGCGCCCTGAGGCTTCCAAGTCTGGCTTCAGATTGCATCGCGCCAAGCTCTCTCACAAAGCCAACACTGGGCCCGAAGCTTCGCGCCCTGCAACCCCAAGTTCGGCTCGAATGTCAGCCTTGACACGCCATGATTCTCGTGAAAGCCGTCCGCGTTCCGCGCGAGATCCCTTGCCCGCACTTCCAAGCCACCTTCGACTCTCGCGCCGCAGCAGCAGCAACGGGCTTGAGCCTTTGGCTCCTCTGTCTCCCAAGGATCAGGCTACTCCGAACACCCCAGATGCACCCTCGGAAATGTCTCCCATGGACCTCGTGCATGCCCTTGCTCATCTACAGCAAGTTAACAAGAGGTACCTACCCTTCTGAGTCTTGCGCCCGGCACGCTTTACCTCGTATTCCTCGCTTATTCTGTGGGACTTGCTTTTTGGTGTCCTAGTCATCATTTGGCCGTGGCACGCTTGATGTATCACAACAATGACTGGCTTGCGCTGCCCGTGCCCTACGACCAACTCAAACGCGGTACGTGGCGGCGACGAGTGACAATTTTTCTTCTTCATCATTATATTTTTGTCTATTATGGGTCTGTGTGCCCGGATCCCCTGCTTTGCGGAGCATGAAGCTTGTGACAATGTTTGTGTGGAACTGATGATCCAACAGCAGCTTGTTGGGCACTCTTCAGCTGATGAGTGTCTTTTGTCCGCTCGCAGGTCCTCGGGGTCATGTGAAGGAGCCTTATGTGCAGCTTGAAGCAGACAAACCTGGCACGGCACTGGTGTGCCAGCAGGGGCAGTCCAGTGGGGTGCCAATCACGATTGATCGCGTACCCGTGCTCTTTGGTGCCATTGCCAACGTTCAGCGTCTTCTGGATCGTCATCGTCAGCGGCGCCAAGAGCGCTGCTATCGTGCCTGGCTTTATGTGGTCGGTGAGCGACGCCGCCAACAAAAGGCCACCTGCTTGGAACGACGCATTCGCTCCGTCATTCTTCTGCAACCGAGCAAGCGTGCTATCTTGTGTGACATTGTTGACACGGTCGAGGAGGACATACGTCAGCTTCTGGAGCAGACGTTGCCGGATGTTGCTGAATTGGACTTTGAAGACCTTCATGCCGAGCTGCTGGCCGCCTGGGAGGATTTGGAGTCTCGCTCCCATCAAACCACCCACGCCCTTGGGCACACTCTAGTTCAAAACCTGACTGAGCGCATCAATGCACAGCTCAACCCCACGCAGCTCGGATTGGCCCTTGGCGAGAGCCACGAGGATGTTGCCCTTCGTATCGAAAGCCGACGTCGGCTCCTGGCCGACGAGCTGGAAAGCGTTTTTCAGATGTTGTCCTTCATGCTGCCAGAGTTGTACTCTCGAGCCGCCCTCTCGTTTTGGAATGTGCTCGAAGCTCAACTGCAGCGTCATTGGGCATCAGAACTTCTCATCGTCACAGACAAGTCAGGTGCCACGGCCGTGCGTTTACAGTTATTCGGCACCAGCCTCCTCAACTCACTGGTCCATCAGCTGTACAACGCCGCCGTCCCCTTGACTCAGATTACATGCGAGGTGGTCAAAGGCCTGTCCGGCAATGTCGGGCGACCTGCACCTTGCAGCGGTCTGGCGACCAGTCTTGAGGCCTTTGTCTTCCCAGTCCTTCGCGTCGCTGGGGAGGCTTGGTCCCGCCGTCGGGAGGCTGCTGTCGCAGTGACTGAGACGTTTGCCGTCCGCGTGCTTGAGCTCGAACAAGCTGCCCGCCAACTCCAAACTGAGGTGGCCGCCGTGCCAGCGCCCAATTTGGAGAATTTTCATGATACCAGTCGACACCTGGAAGAACTGCTTGAGCAGCTTCTGGCGGCCGATGGCACAGCGGCAAAGCTCGACCTGGCATTACCAGTACCCGGCTCCAGATTTGAGCTTCGAACCACGCAGCCGCGTTCTCATATTCGCGCTCGGCTCACTGCAGCACGAGCCGATCTTAATCGCGTGGCCAGCGCAGCTCTTCATGCCATTGTCAGCGTTCTGCGCCAGCAGCTTGGTGACTACCTGATGCACCTGCGTAACGATTATGCCGAACTTGAAGAGGTCTTACTGGCTCTGGATTCACTCCGCGATGCTCAACGCAACTGGGCTAAGCTGGAATCACACTGCTCCGACTGCTTGCGGCTTGATGACACCATGATGCGCTGCGGGCTGGAGCTTTCCGTCGAGTTGCGGGGCTGGGTTGGCCATCTACAAGCGCAATACCACCAAATTCGCAACCGCCTGGATCAGTATAGCCAGGATGCCAGTCAACTGATCCTCGCTGGTCGTGGGCTCGTCTCTGCCAAGCTCGACCAGCTGAATCCCATGGTGCGTGCGTCCAGGGTTTGTTATTGTTTCCAGATGAAAGAAAAGGGGCGGGTAGTGGAAAAGGCATTGCGTTTGGAAGATGATGGGAGTTGCGATTTTGCTTGCTTCGTTGTTTCTCATGCTATCATGTTCAACTTGCACATGGTCGGTCACGCAGCTCCAGCAAAGCATGTTCAAGGCATTTGCTTCTTTCATGCTCCAGTATGATGAAGTACGTAAGCGCGCGAGCTCGGCAGCCGGTCAGCTGACCCCGTTGGATTTGCTCATGCAGCGCTCTGTGCTTGTTCGAGCTAGGTGACACAAAGCGACGTTGATTCTTCTCTCGTTCAACTCCAGGTGCGTGAAGCTTCATCATCTCATTTCAAACGCTGCCCCACTTGGAGTCACACAAACGCCTTCTAATGCGGCCGTGGATGTTTGCATCGCATTTGTGGCCAACGCTTCAGCTCATCAACAACATGCTGCGCGAGCAACTGCTGGAGCTTGACCGCGATGAGGCTCGACTGCACGACCACGCCTTGCATTGGCTGCAGTGGCAGCTGCGACAGAGCAGCATCAACATGGGTTCGCGTGTGCGATTTGATCGTGCAGCCCCGGCACTATTGGCACAGGTGGAAACCACTGAAACCCGTTTACAGCTACTCAAGACCTGCTACTCCCTCTTTCACGAGTCTGAAGCTGCGCGCCAGGCTCTGGTCAAGCATGACATTGCCTCGCTTCAAATTGATGCCGCCACGGCGCAGCTGGACGGGATGGAGCAGACGTGGGGTTCCTGTCACGTGCAACTGTCAGATGCGCCCGTATTGCAGCACGTGGCTAAAAATCTGCACTTTGCCCACCAGTGGTTGCAAGTAGTTGAATTGTGTCAAACCCCCGAGCTCGAAGAGGAAGAGCTGGATAGCATTCGCGACGTCTTGGCCATTCCCAAGCGATGGGAGGACATACTTGTCGCTGACCTCATCCAAGCCGGTGCGTTGTCATGTCCAGCAAGCAAATTTTGCCTTGGCATCACGTAAGCATCGTGGTTTGACTCTGGATTTCTCTTTTGTAGGTGCACTCGCAAAGAAGCCCAGCGTGGTCAAGCTGGTTGAGAAAGCTCGTGCGCGCCATCTGTTTGTGGCCCACGTCGCTGCGGTACGCAAATGAACCCTTCACTCGCTGGTGCAAACTTTGATAAGAAAGGGGAATGGCCAATTATCAATCATCACCCCGTCAACCCCAAGAAGACCACGCAGAGCAACCTCAAGCAGCTCAACCGATTTCCTTTGTATAGATTGCCGAATGGTTGCGGACCGAACTGGTGGAGACGGAAATTCGTGGATCGGCCCTTCACGGCATGCGTACGCTAGCCGTAGCCAACCTAGGGTCGTTGCTACGACAGACCGTGAACCGCCGGGCAGACTTGCGTCAGCTATTAAAGTCTTCATATCGCACTGTGCAGGTTGGCAATCGCGTGCGCTGGTGCTTACATCGCACTGTCCTGCCCGGGTGTTTATGACACGGCATGCTTGTTTGCATCTGGTCTGCTGCTCGACAGCTCTATGAAATATGAACATGCGCTCATGTACAAGTGTCAAACGCTCACATGCTTTTTTTTTTTTTTTTTTTCTGTTGACTTGTTGATGTTACGTTTTTGCAGTCAGGAATTACAGAGCTGTCAAGACGCACCAATCGTACCTTTGAAATCCTCACCGACTTGCAGTCACTCCAAGACAACTGGATGGCGCTTCAATCGCTGCGCAGCTTATTTAAGAGGCATCAGTCTGTAGCCAAAGCCTTTGAACATTTTAAATGCCAGTAAGCTCGCAGGATCGTGTTGTGCCGAACCACAACTGGGCGCTTTGAGATCCACATTACAGCAAGCTAATGCCGCCTTCGCGCCTCACTTCCTTGTGCATAGATGGGTACCTGTGGCACAGACGATCGAGAAGAGCCCCGTCCTGGGGCAGTTGAGTGATGCGATGGTCCGTGAACAACTGACAGCTTGCCGGACGGCTTGGCACACTCTTCAAGAGCGAATCAGTGACGCCGTGGGCCAGCTTCGCTCTGTGGCGCCTGTCCTCTTTGCTCTCCCCAAGGGCACTATTGCGGCATCAGTGGGCCTGCCAGCCGTAGATCAGGCACATGCCTTGCTACCGCAGCTTTGGACAGCTGTGCGCCACCTTGTTGTGGCGGACCGCGATCTGAGTGGCCTATGTTGTCACTCGGGCGAAATTTTCCACCTTCGTCAGCCCTTTCGTTTGCGCGGAGGCTTGGCTGAGTGGCTACCAGCGGTACAGCATGAGGTAGCGACTTCACTTCATGAGCAACGACTTGCGGCCTGGAAGACCGTGCAGAGTCTGTCTGCAGCTTTAATGCCTACCGCTTTGCATTCGCAGCGCTCACGGGGCCGAGCCGCACCAAAGACGGTGCAGGACACTGCCTTAGCTCAGGGTGATAACATTCAAGCTGCTGTTGCGGTGATTCTGGCACTGGCAGCGCAATTTAGCGGAGCTGGAGCCATTGCATTGGCAGCTGAGCTGCACGATCTGATCTTGCGATGCTTCCACGCCAATCGCACCGAGCGGCGCACAATGTTTGCGCGCTTGGCCAAGACTTTGCAGGAGCTGCAGCACCGCCTTGGCGCTTTCTATGCCAATCCGCCTGATGGGGCCAATGTCGCCACGCTGCGCGTCTTGGCGGGCGTCATTGGGCACCACGCGGTATTTTGCGAGCAGCTGCATGCCGTCAAAGCCACGCGCGCGGACGACATTCATGTTTTGCAATCCGTTCGTTACGTCTTTGATCCTGAGACACACAAGTTTGTGGTGCGGACAGGCTTGACCACATCGCGCTTGGGTGATGCGCCCATTAGCCTGTGGCCACAGCGCCTTCGATGGGGGGAGGATTGGGCCAGCATTTTGCGTTTGCTTCACACGCACGAAGCTGCAAAATGCATGGTCTTTCCCTCTGAGATGGGTGCGCTACAGCTGCAGGAACTCTTGCATGTGTACGTTGGTGCTGTGCCCCTCTTGCGAGGTCCAAGCTTCACAAAGGCCCCACCTGCGCTGAGTCTTACAATGTGCATTTTCGCTCTGCTCTTAGGAACACAATTCGTGTGCCCACCGGCGTCCGAGGCTCTCTGAGCCTTCAGGAAGCCCTTTTGGGTTGTGCTTGCCAGGGTGCAGTTTTGGTGGGGCTTGCTCAGAAAGAGGTTGGTTTTGAGCGGCGTTTGGATACCATTGACTGGCTTGGTCCCCTAAATTGCGCGCTTTGTGCGCATTTGCTAGCTCGCACACGGTCACTCATTTATGTTGTCGCATGATCATGATCTGGATGCAGGTGGAGGTCGCGGCTTTAACGCATCTGGTCCTCATGCTTGAGCGCCGTCTTGCCATGGAGGCAGACGACATTACGTATGTTCCATATGCATCATCATCGCTGTTCCCATGCCTAATTGTCCCGGCATCCGTTCCTCCTGTTGCGCATGCTTTCATGTTTACCCTGCCTTGATGTGTGCACAGCATTAATGGATCATCGGTACCTTTGGATCTCCGTTGCCGCATTGCCTGCATTTTTGCCGGAGCTACTCAATTTTCCACGTTGCTGGCCCACCAGTTTCGGTATGCCGATCCTCTCCCAGCTTTCCCGCCCGTTCCCAAGCTCCACCCATTCTTTTGACATGAGGGGGTCTTGTGCATCCCCCTACCCTTTCTTTCTTTTTTTTTTTTTTTTTTTTTTTTTTTTCTTTTTTTATTGATTTAATGATTTTTTTTTTCGTGACCTCGCTTATCAATCTGCCTTGATCTTTGGTGCAGGGTTTGCTCGAGCGCGACGCCACAAATACTCACATGCACCTCTCCTACCACATCGGTGGCATTACCCGAGGCGTTGGACCATCAACTAGAAGAAATTTTGGTGTGCACAACAGCGATCCCCGATTTGCTCATTCTGCACCTGCGTAGCCGTCGACCAAGTCAGCCACCGCTGATCATGGACTTGCGAGGACTTGCTCCTGGGGCGCTCAGTGTTGAGACCATTGCTGACAAGAGCGCCTTCTTGGATACGCTTGAGCAGCCAGATGGCCTCATGTGTGTCATCTGCGATGGTGACGTCGGCAGCAGTGATGTTGCCCTGCAGTCCCTGCAATCACGCTACCCCCGACTTCAAATCTGCCTCATGCTAACTGTCATGGACGGTGCTGCGCGGGCCTGCGACGACGCCATCTTGGCTCCCGATACGCTCAAGGAGGTGCTTGAGCTCTTTTTACGTGACAAATTTGCCGATGCGGTGGCAGAAGCAAACCGCCGCTTGTCTGTCGACGGCATTCGGGTCCACGCGCAACTGGATGCAACTTGCCAGCATGCTGCCGACCTGGGTGTCGCTCTTCTGAGCTCAATGCGAGACGAAGTTCCTCACGTCGTGTCAGTGCAAGCTCTGGTGGGCTTTGCCAACCTGTTATTTGCGCATTTACATGCTCTGATTGGACACAATCATCTCTCACACTTGAGCTCGCTGGATACGGGTGCATACCTATTATATCGTGCCCTGGCACTATCTGCCTATTGGGCGTGTCGAATGGCAGCAGGCACCACAGCGGTTCCGGCAGCAGCTGCGTCTTCCGACTTTTCGGGCCAGAACATGACTCGTCACATCGACCGCGCCATCGCGCGCAGCCGTAGATGGGAAATTAATGGTGCGCAAGCCCTGCTTCGAGAGGGCACGCTCCGCGACTTGGGCCACTTGATGGTTGACCATGCTAGCGGTGGCCTCAGGCCCGTCGACGTCGAAGCAGCACGCCTCATGTCGCTGCAGCGAGATGAAGGGAAGTATGACGCTTTGTGGAGCGCTCCGGTTGCTCTATTACCGCCTGCGCAGCTGGGCTGGGCCATGTCTCAGGTCACGCTCGTTGAAGCTGGCATTCAGGTGTATGCGCAGGCTCACCACGCAGCCGATTTGGAAGCCTTTGCCGCTGTCTTAATCAGGCTCTTACACGAGCGCGACTATGCACCTTTTCGCACAAATCAGATTCGTCCCTGTCAACGCAGCGAGGCTACAATGGTGAAAACTCTCGATGCCCTTTGGACTTGGGATGAAAAAACGTGGCGGATACAGGCCGAGCGTCCATTACTGGTGGTCGATAATTGCCCGGCGCTGGTCGTGTCGGCTCTTGTCCACCAACGAAACCTGCGGCGCAAGGGTGGTGAACGTGTCGCCGTACCCTCTTTTGACTTGTGCTGCTTTGGTCGTGGAGTGGTTGCGCCGTCCCACATGCTGGTGACGGTCACATTAGATCTTGATCCAGTTGCCCTGGTTGGCGATGAGCCGTGGAGCTATGCAATGGCCGCACGACGATTTTTGGATGCGCACGCCAACGTGCCTGCCATCTTTGCCCAACCTTTGGGCACAATCATTGACGACAAGGTCGGCAATCGCGCCTCTTCACAGTTTGATGTTCATGTTTTGCTCAAATGTTCTTTTTTTTTTTGTTTGTTTGTTTGTTTGTTTCCCTCTTTGAGATCAATCATTGCGTTCTGACTTGATGTGGGACATAGATGTGCTGGTTTCCAGCGCTGTTACCTGAAGCGCGGGTGCTGCCGTGCCCACAAAGCAATGTGTTGGGGCTCCTGAAGAAGTACAAGACCGTTCCGGCCGAGCTGTTGGACGTGCTCTGCAAAACCATGATTTTTGCAACGACTCGCCCATTGACGCATTGTTCCGCTTCTGGTTGGTCCATACTTTGACGACTTGCTGTTTGTTTTTCTTTTATTGTGTGTCTCTCCCAAAAATCGCCCAACACGCGCGCTCATATCATTGCTCCATCCTTCAGAGCTTACTGCTGAGTGGACGAGCAAGCTTCTGTCGGCACTTCCATTCGTGCAGGTGATTGAATGTGGGGAGAATGAGCCCAATGTTGCAGCCCAGCTAAATGATGCGTTTGGCCAGCTGAGCGCAGTTCTCGCGCGTAATTGGCGTAATACGTCCGAGGGTCCGCCCTTGGCGGGGATCGATACCGCCAACACCATATCAGAAGCTTCTGAGACGAACGAGCCCGTGCCTCTCGACTGCATTGTCATTGTAGTGGATCGAACCGTGAATGCTGCAGCCTGTCAACATGCTGAAACGATCGCCCTCAATCCCTGGCACGTCCTTGATCCCGAAATTCGTGCCGCGCATCTGCTGGCGCATGAAATTCCAGGAGGCATGCCACCGCACGTGGCTTTTGAAGAGCGCTGGCGATCACGTGTTCGCGTCGTCACCATGTCCACGCGAGCGGAGGCCTTTGTGGCGAGTAAGCCTGGTCTCATTCCAATTCCGCGCGTAGACTTCGCTACCTCGGGTCTGTGGCGTGAGGAAATGACTCGGCAAACTGATGCCGTAACGGTGCAACGCGCAACGCAATTGGTTGAGGTTTTTTTTCAGTTCTGCCCGGTTCTCTCAGCTGCCCAAGCTCAATCTCGTGTCGCGTTGGTCATGCGCGTTTTGCGCTCGGCACAAGAATTGCAAGCCATCTTGGAACGAGAAGCCAATTTGAAGCTGGATCAAGTGGTCAAATCTTTGCGTTGTGTCCATGAGTATGTGCAGTTGGAGCACACCCTCATACGCGGCTTGGAGCAGGCACATTTGGGCATTGAGCAACTTGAGCAACGCTCTGCGCAACTAACGCGGAGGCGTGCCATGACCCAAGAAGCCATTAAAACTGTGGAAGAGGCGCTGGTCAAGTGCAGCCAGCGTATGCACACGGCTGAAGCGGAATTAAAGCTGCAAAACGAGGCCATTGAGAGCCGTATGGCCGTCTTTAGCCAACCGCTCCAAGAGGCCACCGGCTACTTGCGAGCCGTGGACAAAGGAAGCATGAACGAAATCCGTCGCTATCAGCGACCCCCGCGACACATCCACCAGCTACTAGCCGGCGTCGCCTTGTCTTTCGAAGAGCCCACGGACTGGAGCAGCATCACGGCGTTTCTTGCACAACCCAACCTGGTCGATCGACTGGCGCGTCGCTTTCAGGACGAGGTAAGAGTGGTAGCGCATTTGGGTGTGGCCTGTTGCGAGTGCGGCCTGTTGTGAGTGTGGTCTGTTGTTGGATGTGGGTGTGAGTGTGCTGGCTGAGAACCCGTGCCGCTTCTTACTGTGGAATGCACCTGATGGGGATGAATCTCAGGTGGGGATGGCGAGTCTGGAGCGATTGCGTGCACATGTTCAAAGTGAGGACTTTAACGTGGAACGGATTGTCAACATTTCTGTGGCTTGTCACCGCCTTTGTCGGTGGTTACTCGCACTCCTGGATTACTGGCAAATGCGAAAGGACATCCGACCTGCTGAAAAAGCGCGAGACGACGCCGCCGAGGCCATGACGACAGAGAGGGCGGAACATCGTAGGCTCCTGCAAATGGAACAAGAGGATCGAGCAAAGCTTGCAGCCTTGCGTGCCGAGGCACGTGATGTGCAGGAGCAGACATTGCAGCTCAAGGCCACCCACTCGCAACTCACTCGTCAACTTGAACGCCTGCGCGACGTTTCTGGCGCTCTGGTGCAGCCGCGCTTGCAATGGCAACGTGTGCGTACCGATCTGCAAACTCGCCTGCAGAGGGTGCCAGTGCTGGCCCTTTTGGCAGCTGCAACGCTCGAGATGCTCGGACCAGTGGGCACGGGGCGAAGACGAGATATTTTTGCGCGCTGGCAGACCCTGCTAGGTCTCGATGCCGGTGTCGAGCCCATGACCCTGCGGAACTTTGTCGAGTTGCTTCAAACTCCCGATGAAATTCAGGCGTGGCGACGGGCGCGGCTCGTGCCAGGTCCAGACGCGCTGACTAGTGCGTGTCTGCTTTTGTGGCACTCGCGACAGCGGCTCGTGCGGCTGGTGGACGCTCACGCACTGGCCGTGACGTGGCTGCGAACGTACTACAAGCATGCCAGAGTCATTGAGGTTGCAGCAAACGGGGAGCCGATTCGCGCCGTGGATGACCCGAACGGAAGCTTGAGCGGACCCATGGACGTGGACTTGCTGGCCCGATACGACGTCGTGCTGGTCATGGGTGCGCCGGGGGAGCATGAGCTCCTGCCACCTTTTATTCGTGAGCTTACTGCGCGAAAACGTACTGGCCATCTCTCGGCACGCGTCTTTCTGCTAACAGACAAAGCAAACTGGCCGCAGCCTGCAGATGTCGGCATGGCTGTGGCGGGGCCGAGCGCTCGCAGCGCGCCAGAGGTGGTGACCGTTGTTTTTCACGCCGCCGTGGACATGTGCATCGAACGCCTCTCTGGCTGTATTGCACGGGCCACGGGTTCGGCAAGCGTACGCGACTATCGCGACTGCAGCAATCGGTTGGCTCTGCTGAGCACCATTCGGGCTGAAGGGGAGCAACGCGTCCTGGATGCGGTCATCGCCACCACGCACAAGCAGCTGCTGGAGGAGGAAGCGCTGCACGATGTGCTGACGGAATATCACGCTTCCATGGCCTCGGCTGCGGAGGAGGAGCTGGAAGTGACCAGAAAGCTGGCCGAGCTGCAACGTGAGCTGCAGACGTTTCAAAGCACAGCGCAACACATGTACTGTCTCTGGTGTGCTCTGGCTTCCTTCGGTTCAACATGGCCATCCGCAGCCGTGCCCTTTGGCGTTTTTTATCAAGAGCTGGACGATTGTCTGCGTCGGCTGCATGGCACAACATCACCGACCTATGAACAGCTGGCGAACCTCGGCGAGCCAAAAATGCACAACGTGGACCGTCGGCTATCCCGCGCCTTGCAACTGGTCAAGTCGGCGCTGTTGGATCTTTTGCCTCGCATTCGAGCTGCCATGCCGGCGCAGGCCCAAGCACAGCTGTTACACCGCATTGTTCACTTTGCCCTGACCTCGTCGCTCAGCGAGATGGCCGATGGCTTGGATATGGGCCGTGCACCGTTGTCATCGGAAGCCCTGGCTACGCATGTGGCTGAATGCATGCGCTCATTGCCTCTCATGGTCCCTGAATGGGCGTCAGAGCACCGAGCAAGCCTAGGCGCAGCGGGCGCTGTGTCAAACACTGCCACCCCGGTCGTGGTCACAGAAACTGACGCGACAGACGCCTTGGAGCAAGATAAGAACGGTTTAGAGAACCAACCCGATGATGCTGAGATGCCAGACAGCATGCCGGTGGCACCAGTTGAGGATCAAGCCTCGGCTTCGCACATCCCTGGTGAGACAATGGACGATCCTTCAAGTCAATCTGCAGCTCCCAGTGCGACGTCGCCGGGCCTGGCAGGGGACTTTTCATGGCCAGCTGACTTGCAATGGGCGACTGCAGGGCTGGAGCAGGTGGTCAACAGTGAACCACGTGAGCTGGGCCGTTTGAAAGCCATGCTGTCCGCTCAAACGCGCGATACGTATGGCCATGGCGTTGTGGAGACTTGGATGCGCACATCAGAGCAGGTGCCCAATCTACCAGCGTTGCTTCGGCATGTGAGTGCCCGCTGCGCTCTTCTCCTGGTGCACGTCTTGCGATCTAGAGATCTCGCAGCATGGGTGGCGCGAAGCGTGGCCTTGCATCCAGTGTTGCATGTTTGCTTGGTCGCGCTCGCGCCCGAGGTGGACATGGCTGCGGGCAAGGGTGCGTCTGCGCCTGTGACGGCGTCGCTCACCTGCACCTCGTCGACGCAAGCCAGTGGGCTGGCAGACGTGGTGGCGACTGCCCCACACTCACTGGGCTGGGTGGCCAGCCGCAGTGCAGGCGATGCAGTCGATCTGGTGCTCACGCTGGCCCGCGATGAGGGCATGATCCACGCCACACACTATTTGTTTTTGGAAAGCCACTGGCAGCTGCACGCCGTACGCAGCACCATTGCGGGCGCCATGCGGGAAGGCCAGTGGCTGCTTGTTGTTCCCACGGGCAGCCAGCCCTCGGACGTGGTGTTGTGGTGGGCAGTGGGTCTGCAGCGCCTGGTCGAAACGTGCCGAGCGCAACATGGTGTCATCTCACCGCGCTTCCGACTGTGGATCTGCTCGTCATTTTGGCAGCGATTGCCCAACGTTGTCACGACCTACTTCCTCCGGTTAGGCTATCAAGCGGACACAACCACGTGGGCTGCGGTGGTGGGTAGTCTGCGGCTTTTTTTGGGCCCAGTCCGTGGACGTTTGGGGATGGTGCAGACCATGCGTCAGGCCGGTGTGGTTTCGACAGCGAGTGGGCGTCGATGCAAATCCGGTTCTGGTGAGCGAAAGGCGGGCCAGTCCGTCGGGCAAAGTCGTACTTCTGGTGGGCCGGTGACCGGGCGACGTGCCTCGAAGCGCAGTGGAAGTCAGACAACAGGCTTTCTTTCCAACGCCGCCTTGGGCAGCCAACTAAGCGATGATCAACTGGTTGTGTGGGCGCAGGTGGCAGCCGTGTTGACTAGCTTTCACCATGCATGTGCAGCCCAACGTCAGGAACGCTTTACAACAAGCGCGATGCCGCTGGGCCTTTTGGAAGAGAGTGTGCAAGTGGCGCTGCAAGTCATTCGTGGCGCTGCCCCGGCACAACATGCGCCGGCCCTGACCACGCTTGTCGCTGAAACGATCTATCTGATTGATGATACAGAGCGTATTTTGTGGCACTCTCTTGTGGTCGAGGCCCTTGCAACCGGCACGATGGTCTTGCGCCCAGTGGACAGGATTCATTGGTTGGCAGAACGCGGTCGGCCCGTGCCTGCTGTGGTCGCCGAGGCCATTGCATAATCCCGTTTGTCTGATTATCCTGTGACTTGATTATTGTGGAGTGTTTTGACTGTTGTGCGAATGGGCCTGCGCCATCAACAAGATGGACATGGCTTTGGTGGAATGTGAGTGTTCATAGCAAGTCTTTTATTTTCTATTTTTGTTTTTTATGACCATGCTTGCAAAGACAGAACAAGTTTGAGACTGAGGCAGCAACCCAAATGAATGCCGAATGGTTGTGACACAGCGCCTGAGGCGCACTTGAACTTGGGAATGAAAAACGAAATTTACGCACAAATATTAATTTCTGAAAATGTGGTCTCAATTTGCGACTTGAAGAGAGAGGAAGGCGAGTGGCAAAGGCAAACAGCAACACACGCGCAACGAGACAGCGTTGTTCGCGTTGACAAAAGCACAGGCCCGGCCCGTGTCCATGAAAGGTGTGGTATCAAAACAAGGGAGAAGCAGCGTTTATTTACCCTTCTTCTTGCCCTTGCCTTTACCCTTTTTGCTCTTCTTGGCCAAAGCCTGGCAGTTGAGTCAGCAAGGGATGGCCACAACCGTGGCATGAGGGGTTGGCTGAAACAAGATGAGGACACTAATGTCCAAAGAAGGCGCGAGGCGGGGAGAGAGGAAGAGCAAACTAACCTTGCGTGCTTTGTAGGCGCGCCACATGGCCTGCACCAATAGCGCAGCACGAACCATTTTCTGCATTTCTTCTTCAGCCTTTTGTTTGGCCTCTCGTTCGCGCTTGCGGTCTGCCATGATAATGTTGTACTCGACCTCGAGTTCGTCAAACTTGGCCTGAAGAGCCTTCATTTGCTCAAGTTCCGCATTGTGTTGGGTGTTGAGCTGGTCCAAGTCGAGTTGTTTATGGCCCATGTCCTGAAGAATCAAACAAAAATGCAAGGGCAAGCAGTGTCATTGTGAGGAGACTGGAGGACCTGAACTCCCTGGCTTGTCGCTGGTGCATGTATCGGGCGCGGTGTGGGGAAGCACAATGAGGAACCATCTGCACACCTGATCGTATTGAAAGATGATATCCTCAACTTGAGCCTCGATGCGACGCTTGCGCTGTCGTAGCTTTGTTTCAATCTCCTTGTTGTTGCGCCGAAGGGTGGCAAGATCGGCCTGGACCTGCGCAATCTGCTTGGCAATGGCTTCTGAGGAGGAGGTGAGCTCCGAGTCGATTTCGAGTTGCCTGGCATTCAACGAGTGGAAGCAAGCATGAGAGCAACGGCGAGGATTCAGAGAGACAAGTTGAGCGACGTTGCTGGGTGCACGAGGCAAACCAACCGCTTCTTGGTTGTGCGAAGAAGCTGCTTGTTCTGTTCTGTGGCGTGCTGTGTCATGGTCTCCAGTCGAGCTTCCAACTGATCAACCAGGACTTGGCGTTCTTGGCATTCGGCATCACGAGTAACCTGAAGAGCCGCCAGCTCTTGCTCGAGTCCATCAATCTGAGATGGATGGTCAACAGGAGGGGTATAAAGTGGTCGGGCGGACACCAATAATGAGGGGACCATCAGTAAAAAGGAGATGGGAAGGGACAAAGCAGCTTGGTATGCACGCACGGTCCCGCGCAAAACCCGGATCATAGCATTCTTGTTTGGGAGCCAAGCAAAAGACAGCAGGGTACAGGCAGGGTACAGGCAGGAGTGTATTGTATGGCGAACATGGAACTCGCACCTCTTTAGCATGCACCGCTTCACGCGTGGCAAGCTGCTGCACCAGTTCCTTGTGACGGCTCATCTCCTCGGTGGTGGTCAACAAACGAGTTTCCAACATGTCGTGAAGACTTGTTACAGTATTGGCGACCCGGTCAAGGTCGACCGCGTTGACAGTTGTCGATGAGGCCGATTCCGGGTTGGTGTTGTTCTGGGCAGCGAGCAACAGGGCTTTGAAGTTTTGGTTCTGATCGAGCTGGCGCACAAGAAGTCGGGTCGTGCGGCGGAGATCTTGCTCGGCCACGAACAAGGCTGTGCGGTCGGCTGGGTTTGTAGGGCCATTTGAGCCTTGATGTTCATTGGCAGGGTTTCCGAGGCGTGCCACGGTGTTTTGCGCTTCTACAAATTCATCAATGGTCAGGCGAAGATCGGAGTCTACCAAATGGGAATCGCGCACTTGACCCACGGCCGCCAGGAGCGGAACCATCTCCATGCGGGCGAGCAGGCGGTCCAGAATGGCCAAGGCACGTTCAGCATTGGCATCAATGAGGCGCTTTTGCGCTGGCCGCAGCTGTTCCAACGCCGCCTCCATCGTAGCTGGTTCTTTTCGCGTTGGCTGAGATGGTTGTTGCTGAATTCTCAAAACAACCCTGGACCAACACGAGCTCGTCAGGCCTCAGCGCCAATGACAGCCTTTGGACGCAATACTGTGCGCAGGGCGTTGCAACGCTCAACCCTGTCTGTGGCCGCCTGTCCAGGTGCAGCCCCGCCAAACGAGTTGTTCACTCGGCCAGGCGCGCGTGTGTGCCGTGCACACAGATCAAGAGCTGAAACGCAGGATAAAAAAACAAAACCGCCACACAACCGGTCATCAGCAGGCCATGGTCCCCACCAGGGCCACACAACCATCAACCCTCCAGCAGCAGTCGATACGAGATGAGATGGCAAAGGAGGAGGAGAAGGAGGAGGAGGAGGAGGAGAAGGAGGAGGTCCAGCCCAGAAAAATAAAAATTTCCGAGAGAGCGAGCGAGCTCTGTCTCTGTCTCTGTCTCTGTCTCTGTCTCTGTCCCTCTGTGTGTGTGTGTGTGTGTGTGTGTGTGTGTGTGTGTGTGTGTGTGTGTGTGTGTGTGTCTCTCTCTCTCTCTCTCTCTGTCTCTCTCTCTCTGTCTCTCTCTCTGTCTCTCTCTCTGTCTCTCTCTCTGTCTCTCTCTCTCTCTGTTTCTCTCTCTCTCTCTCTCTCTCTCTTTTTCACTCAAAATTTCTGACAATAAGGTTGTCAAGGAGGTCAAGCATTGTCTGAAACGGCATTTTTGACCCCTGGTCCTTGACAACAACACCAACAAAGGTTCGTCACGGATCGACCGAACAAGACACACACGCACGCACACACACTCGCTCGCCAGTCGACTCGGCTTGATGGCTGGGCCTTGAAAAGGGCGAGCACTGGTCTTTCAGCTCTCTGAGAGGCTATGCTGTAAGGGCGTGAAAGGCGAATCACGGGCCCCTCCTGATCTATCTTCCCCCTGGCTCATAACAACTCGTCGAATTTTCGTGGCCCTTGCAGATGGCCAATCCCGTGATGCCCAAGATGCCGGGTTACGTCTTTGACGATCCATCGGTATGATGCGTGGACATGTGCACATTTCTGGGCAGCGCCGGGCTCTAGTCTCAATGTCAACCAAAAGCACGGGCGCAAACGTGAACGTCCCTCCCTCCCTCGTCTCTCATTTTGACGTTTTGCTCGCTGGCCCTCGATGCGGATGCAGTTGAAGCCGTACCATGGCAAGGCGCAAACACTCCGAAATGGGCAGGTGGACTCGGTACCGCGCGGGAGCTCGGCCGTCGCGGACGAACCCGTCGATATTGAAGCCTTGGCTCAGGCAACCAAGCGTCTTACATACAACACAACAACCCGCTCCACCACAGAGCAGGCAGTCCCCTCAACCGAGCACAGCGAGCCGGCACCCCCACCTGCACACGTGGCCCTGGACAAGGTCGTTCTCACTTTTGACGGCTACTTCAAGGAGACAATCCACGAATCGGCCGACGAGCACTACCGCGTCCGCTTTGTCAAGGTCAGTGCCCCTCAGGCCAACCATGGCCCCGTTTTTTTCTGTTTATTTTTGTTTTTTGTCGTGACTTCTCCTGGATGAGCTTGGCTACAAAGCCAGACAACCAGACAACAACAACAAAAAAGATGCACCCCAACCAACATTGATGTAAACACAGCCCAAAACCCGTGCGTGTTGATGGCTCACCTCTGACGCTCCGGACTCAATCTCGACAGGTGTTTTACTTCCTCGAGGATGACACCATGGCTGTCCTTGAGCCCGCAGTCCCCAACAGTGGCCTGCCTCAGGGCAAGCTCATTCGCCGTCAGCGTTTGCCAAAGGACAGCGAGGGCAATACCTATCTCTGGTCCGACCTGGGCGTGGGCGTCAACCTGCAGGTCTACGGTCGCGTCTTTCGTCTGACCGACTGCGATCAGTTTACGCGCCGCTTCTTTGAGGAGCAGGGCGTGACCTTGAATGAAGCCGAGCCTCAGCCTGTTGACCCCTATGCACTTAAGCGCAAGGTCGTTGAGCAGCCCAGTACCCTCAGCACAACGCCCAGTGACTTTGACAAGCTCAAACAATTTGTAACCCTGGACCGCAAGGTGCTGCGCGTCTACGCCGTCTGGGACGACACAGCCTCACTCCACGGCTCCCGTCGCACTTATGTACGCTTGCATATTTTTTTTCACATTTCGGAGTTGTTTGTTCTGTCATGCTGGCCCACGCTCCGGCAGTGTCGAAAGCAGGCCTTTTTGTTCTTTTTGAGGGTTTCCCCTTTGTTCGATTATTTGTCCCCGGATTGCTCTCCCAGTGTCTGGACTCATCAACACTGCTGTCCTGTGCCATCGCAGACGATTCACTACTTTTTGGTGGACGACACCGTCGAGGTGCGCGAGCAACACGTGCCCAATGATGGGCGTGATGCGTTCCCACTGCTGCTACGCCGTCAAAAGGTGCTGCGCAACCACCGCGACCTGCCAGTCGAGTTTCCCAGCATTGTCATGGAGCCATCGGCATCGGAGAACAGCGACTACATTGGCCCCGCTGACTTGCTCATTGGACAGACCGTGCACATCATGGGTCGTGACTTCTTGGTCTACGACTGTGACGCCTTTACACAAGAGTTTTTCCGCCGCAACTTTGGCGTCGAAGACCTGACGCCCCTGGATATCAGTGAGCCGGGCAAGCCAGTGCCCAAGGCCCCCGTGCCATCCCATACGGGCTTTGGTTCCGAAGAGGACTCATTGCAGAGTGTCTTGGCACTCAACCCACGGGCACCCAAATCCAACATGAATAAACTTCTCAAATACGACAAGCAGGTTCTCCGCTTCCGAGCCCAGCTGGATACCAAGGACGTGACCGACGTGGACCGCAGCTTCATCATCACATATACCCTAGCCTCTGATCAAATTTCCATCTTCGAGCCAAAGAGTCGTACCGCCATGGGCGGCAAGTTTCTCGAGGCTCAAAAGATTCGCCGGCCCGGTGGCGCAGTGCCTCCGGTGTACTACAGCGAGGGTGATCTCTATCCGGGCGCCAAGCTACAGGTTTGTTTTCGTGCATGGGGGGTGGGGGGCTTGTTTTTTTATGAGAGCCTCCGTTACTGGTGTGCAAGGCTACGCGTGTGTATGCACGACGGGGACATGCGGCTGGAGTTGAGACCTCATCAAACATGTTTCATGCTTGTAACCACAGGTGTTTGGCCGAACCTTTTTGCTGGGCGAGTGCGACGAGTTTGTCTATACGTTTGCTCAGGAGCACCCAGAGCTGTATGGGCCCGAGGGGCGCGCGGCCTTTGGCTTGTCGGCTTAAAAAAAAAAACTCTGTCATGCTCCCTTGTGGAAGGCCCCAACGTTTGCACGCGCCTCTTATCCGGTCGCTGGCACGGGGGCTTTGTTCGATTGCGGCGCGATCTTTGCCATAGACGTCCTTTTGGTGGCCACGTCATGTTGTCTGTAGTGGTGTTTTCTCTTTTCTTTTTCTTTGTACATTTCTCGTTGTAGTCGCCATTCTGTTAACCCAGTATTTGAGCCATGGAAGAGGCTATCTGCCTCGGGGGTGCCGTTTGTTGGTTGCCTGCTCGCATAGACATTGCTGTCCAACAAGGACCTTGGTGTCATACGCGTGTGAACCTTGAGCAAATTAATCCGCATAATAGTAATAATAATAATGACCATGTTACACGTTCAACAAGTTGATCATTCGAGCTGATGTTGACTTGACTGGCCATGGGACGGGACAGTCGCACTTGGTCGTTGTGTCCGTCGGTTTCGTTGCCGTAACATGCCAGCTGCGAGGTTGTCGTCATAGTGGTGGTCACGCAAACCCATTTGACGCGAGACGTGGTACACATGCACAAGAAGGTCTGATGTTTGAGCTTTTGAAGCGAGCGGCCAAGCCGAAAATTTGAACAAAAAATCCCTCAAGCCTCCACGCGGTGTAAAGCACCGAGTTGATGTCGGGCAGCACGCACCAGGCCACACAGACTTGAAAGTTCGAGTCGACTTCGGGCTTCAGGCAAACAACAAATCGGAAAAAAAACCCCAAAAATAGAAGAAACTCGACGCTACCAAACGTGAGAAAAAAAACTGTAAAGAAAAATACACTTTACCACGCAGCAAGTAAAGTGTGACTATAACTACACTACAAGATGTAGATAGTGTGACTTAATCCATACTTTGACGTTCAAGTTGCAATCTTTTTGTTCTTGCCTGAGTTCTCTGCACCGTGCTTGGTGTCAGGAAGCCTCTCTGTCCTTCCACCACGTTATCCACATCAAGTCTGCTTTTGGCTTGATTTCAACGTTATACAGCTGCACCACTGCACACGAATCTCTGGCATCATGAACAACGATCACTCTACTCTCTGTGATTCAAATAATATCATTCTCTATGCCACTGCTTCATTTTTGCACAAGGTAACAACTTGTGGCCGACGGGACCTCAAATGGCAGCGCTCCTTGACTGCCTCCTTTTGATTCGATGTCATCGGCAGCCATGTCAGTGCCAGTGTCAGGGTTCTGGTGTTGCATTGGCCACGGTCATTCCACTCGTCGAAAGGGCGAGGTGGGGGAGGGGATTCTTGCCTTGGTCTGCTCGTGTTGTGCTTTTAAATGGAGTCCAGTTCACTGGCTCGGGTGTGTGACGTGGTGGCCGCAAGGCCTGTGAATCTGGCTCGCCAAGGGTCCAATGAGTCTGCCCGAGCTCGGCTGAACATACCCATCTGCTCCTGACAACTTGCCCGTGTCTGACTCCCAACTGTCTGTGTCCTTGTGCGTCAGTGGGTGCTTGCTGTCGACTTCCTTGGTGCTTACTGGGTTGTTGTAACTCGACGCGAATGTGTCTTGTGCTTTCTCTCTGTCTCTCTCTCTGTGTGTGTGCTTTCTCTGTCTCAGTCTCAGTCTCAGTCTCTGTCTCTGTCTCTCTGTGTGTGTGTCTCTCTCTCCCTGTCTCTCTCTGTCTCTCTCTATTTGTGTGTGTGTGTGTCTCGCTCTCGCTCGCTCTCTCTCTCTCTCGTTGTGTTTCTTCGTGGGCCGTGACAAAGTTGGCGCTCTTCTTCCAGCTTCTTGCCTTCCTGGCTGACTTTGGTCACGTCCAGTGGATCAGGCAGGCAGGGTGTTGTGTTGCGGCTGAGTTCAGCCGTGTGTCTTTGTGCTTGCGACTTGCTTTTTTTCTTTTTTTTTCTTTTTTAGGTGTTTGTATCTGTTTGCTCGTCTTCATTTTTTTAGCGTTGACCTCGTCCACCACTTGACTCAACTCGACCAACGCTCATCCTCCTGACGTGGATCCAACCTTTTTTTGGTTCCAACTGCCCTATTTGTAGATTTACTCGATTAGTCCCGTGTTTCGCGGCACACCACTTCTGTTCCCTCTCCCAGTTTGGCGCCCCGTGTACTCTTGTCCCCGTGCTTCAGTGAGCAAGCGCTTGCAGGGCTTGACTCCTCTTCGCCCTTTTTGACCACAACCAGCGCGTAGGTGGTCGGCTTCTGCTTGGCGTCAAGTGTGTTCGGTTCCAACTGTGGTCTCTCAAACGCCTCACCCTCGTTCGCCTTGTCCTTCTCTCAGAATGGCGGCTGAGAACCAGGACATTGATGAGGGATTGTATTCCCGCCAGCTTTACGTGCTGGGCCATGAAGCCATGATGAAGATGAAGAACTCGGACGTTCTCATTTCCGGTGTTGGTGGTGTCGGCATTGAAATTGGTCAGTCATCTAGTCATTGTTTTCTCTTGCCACCAAGCCTTACCATGAACATCAATTAGCAAATGCTGCAGTCAACCAACGTTTTTTTCTGCGTGTACTCATCCGCCCCCGCTTCCCCCCATTTTTTTTGCGGTCTTTGTCGTTGTACAGCCAAGAACGTTTGCCTGGCTGGCGTCAAGTCAGTGACCATTCACGATCCCAAGGTCGTTGAGATTCGGGATCTCTCTTCTCAGGTTTGTTTCCTTCTGCTCGGTGTCGCGTCTCGAATGCACACCCATTTGTTTTTGACTATTGTAGCGTGCGTGCAAAGGCCTCCGCCACTCATGTTTGGGCTTTTCATGCTCTGGCTGTTGTCAGTTTTTCCTGAAAGAGGAGGATGTGGGCAAGACCAGGGCAGCGGCATCAGCACCTCACCTGTCCGAGCTCAACAGCTACGTGCCCGTCACCGCCTACGAGGGCGAGCTCACCGATGATTTTGTCGCCAAGTTTCAAGTTGTCGTCCTCACCGAGTCGACCCTGCAGGAGCAGATCCGCGTGAACAAGGTGACCCACACCAACAACAAGGCTCTCATTGTGGCCAGCACCCGTGGTCTCTTTGGCCAGCTCTTTTGCGACTTTGGCCCCGACTTTGCCGTTGTGGACACCAACGGGGAGCAGCCCCGCTCTGCCCTCGTCGTCAGCATCACCAAGGACAAGGAAGGCGTTGTGACGGTGCATGACGACGCTCGCCACGACATGGAGGACGGTGACTTTGTCACCTTTAGTGAAATCCATGGCATGGAGGAGCTCAACGGTTGCGAGCCCCGCCCTATCAAGGTGACCGGTCCCTTCACCTTTACCATTGGTGACACGACGGGCATGACCGATTACGTGCGTGGTGGTAACGTTACTCAAGTTAAAATGCCCAAGAAAATGGCTTTCAAGTCACTTGAGGAGAGTCTGAAGGATCCTGAATACGTCATGTCCGACTTTGCCAAGTGGGACCGTCCGGGCCTCTTGCACGTCGGATTCCAGGCCATCTCAGCCTTCCGCGAGAAGCACGGCCGCTTCCCTCAGCCCGGCAACACCGCTGATGCTGATGACTTTGTGGCTCTTGCCAAGGAAGCCAACGCCAACACGGTGAACGTCGATCTTGATGACAAGGTCCTCCGCGCCATGGCCTCACAGGCTTCGGGTGCCGTGGCCCCGGTTGACGCTGTCATTGGTGGCATTGCCGCCCAGGAGGTGATGAAGGCCTGCTCTGGCAAGTTCCACCCCCTGCAGCAATACTTTTACTATGATGCCCTCGAGGCCCTCCCGGAGCAGCCTGCCGCTGAAGACCTGCAGCCGGTATGTTTGGTCGAGGTGTTGCTTATGCCCTGTGGGTTTCTGAGCCATCACCGCCATGGCGAGATGTTTATGTCATCGTTGCCGTCTTCTGTATCTCACGGGCTTCGCTTCTACTTCGGGCATGTGTGTACAGATGAACTCGCGCTACGACGGCTTGATTGCAGTTTTTGGCCAAAAGTTTGTCGAACGCCTCAACCAGCAAAAGTACTTTATGGTGGGCGCTGGTGCCATCGGCTGTGAATTGTTGAAGAACTTTAGCATGCTCGGTCTCGGCGCCTCCCCGCAGGGCAAGCTGACCGTTACGGACATGGACACGATCGAGAAGAGCAACCTGAATCGCCAGTTCCTTTTCCGCTCCTGGCACGTGGGCAAGCTCAAGTCAGAGTGTGCCACCGAGACGGCTCGCGTCATGAACCCCAACATGAACATTGAGTTTATGGCCGATCGTGTCGGTGCTGACACCGAACACATTTTCCACGATGACTTTTTCGCCGGCCTGGATGGCGTGGCCAATGCCCTCGACAATGTTGAGGCGCGCCAGTACATGGACCGCCGTTGCGTTTTCTACAAAAAGCCGCTGCTCGAGTCAGGTACTTTGGGCACCAAGGGCAACACGCAAGTCGTCTTGCCAGGTCTCACCGAGTCCTACAGCTCGTCGCAGGACCCTCCGGAGAAGTCCATTCCCATTTGCACTCTCAAGAACTTTCCCAACAAGATTGACCACACCCTGCAGTGGGCGCGTGATCTATTTGAGGGCCTCTATGCCCAGACGCCCGGCGATGTCAACAACTATTTGAGCCAGGCCGACTTTTTGGACAAGGTGTCCAAGCTGCCCGGCTCTACTCCCGTGGATACTCTTGAGGGCATCAAGGATTCCCTCGTGGACAACCGTCCTCGCTCCTTCCAAGACTGCGTCGATTGGGCCCGTCTCAAGTTTGAGGACCTGTACGTCAATAAGATCAAGCAGCTGCTCTTCAACTTTCCTCCCGACAAGACGACCGAGTCGGGGGCACCCTTTTGGTCTGGCCCGAAGCGCTGCCCGACGCCCTTGAAGTTTGATGTTGCCGATCCCAACCATCTGGGCTTTGTTTGGGCCGCTGCTAATCTTCGCGCCGCCATTTTCAACCTCAATGGCGAGCGCGACGTGTCCGTGGTCGCCCAGCTGATTCAAAACGTCAAGGTGCCCGAGTTTGTGCCCCGATCCGGTATCAAGATTGAGACGGACGAGAAGAAGGCTGAGGAGGAAGCCCAGCGCGTCGCTGCCGGTAAGTCGTTGAATGCTCGGGCAGGCACTGGCGTGCGTTCCCTTCCGCGTCAGCACCCTCCCTTGGGCACTTGCTTCTCATGTCCATGGCTTGTAAACTGTTGTGGTTGTTTGACTTAGACACTGACGAGGTGCAGGTTCTGGCCAAGCAGCTGCCCCCTCGGGGCGAGTTGGCTGGCTTTAGTCTTTCGCCTCAGGACTTTGAGAAGGACGATGACAGCAACTTTCACATGGACTTTATCACGGCCGCGTCCAACTGCCGTGCGCTCAACTACTCGATCGAGCCCGCTGACAAGCACAAGAGCAAGCTCATCGCTGGCAAGATCATTCCTGCCATTGCCACCACCACGGCGCTGGTGGCAGGCTTGGTCTGCGTTGAGCTCTGCAAGCTCGTGGCAGGTCTCAAGGACATTGAGAGCTACAAGAATGGCTTTGTCAACCTTGCCCTGCCCTTTACCAGCTTCTCCGAGCCCATTGCTTGCCCCAAGAACAAGTACAATGACACGGAGTGGACTTTGTGGGATCGCTTCGAGGTGAATAGCCCCTTGACGGTCCAGGGTCTGATTGACTACTTTGAGAAGGAACACCAGCTCGAGGTCAACATGGTCTCGTGCGGCGTGAGCCTGCTCTATGCGGCCTTTGGCATGTCCAAGGACAAGCAAAAGGCCCGTCTCGGTGCCAAGATTGAGGACGTCGTGCAGGAGGTGACAAAGGAGCCCATCCGCAAGGGCCAAAAGTACCTGGTCCTGGAAGTCTGCTGCGACGACACTGAGGGCGAGGATGTGGAGGTCCCCTTTGTCCTGTATCGTCTCTAAATCATGCAGCGCGCGGCGCGCACTGCCAGTATGCTTGTGGCAGTATTTCTTGCCATTTTGCAGCTTTGTCTTTTTTTTTTCTTTTCCCATGTTCCTCTGCTTCTTCTGCCACACATGGTTTCGGGTTGAGGTCGTTGGTCGTTGCGTCTCCTTCTCTCTGTGAGTTGTACTACCGTTAGGTTTCGTGCCGCCAACCTCCCGCCTTCTTTTCCCTGTACCAAAACCAAATTTATGGCATTTTCTTGAGTCTGATCGGGCTTGCTTCAGAATAAATACGATTGATTCGTCAGCGCAAGCGTGCGCGCTCAGAGCATCATGTCCGCCAAGGGTAGGGGTCTGCCCATCCATGTGAAGTTACGCAGTGAGTAGCCAAAGCGGTTGACTCGCCCCTCAAAGCGCTCAATCACCGCTCGACAAACTGGCGAGTCCAAGTCTACTAGACTGTTGAACCTTGATTGCCAGCTGAAGGGATCTCCAACATGAATATGCACGTCGCGTCGGTCACCGCCGTGGTATTCATGCAGGCGCCGGCGGTTCGCGCCCAGCCCTTGCCATTGTGTTTGAGGTGCTTGGGGTGCCAGCTGCTGTTGGATGGCCAAGGTGGCATTGCCCGCGTCAACCCATGTGTACCGCAGCGAGGATTCAAGGCCCAGCAGGACGAGGATGCGGTCTGTTGCGGCCTGAATGTATGACCTCGACCCACCCAAAAATCGCTCAAATTGCACCCCGAGGACTCGGGTGAGGAACGGGTGATCCGCGGCTAGGATTTCGTGCACCCGAAGCCAATGAGCCACCAACTGTTGGCCACAATCGCGCGGCAACAGGCCCCGATGTTTAGCCCAGGCGTGCTGTGTGGCTCCGAAAGGATGGCGCATGATGAAAACAAAATATGTCGGCTGCGGTGCAAAGGCTGCCTGAAGAAATCGTGTCATCACCGTGTGCAGTGGGCTCTTCTCGGCCAAATAAGGGCGGGAGGTGTCCCAATAAGGGGCCCAGGCTTGGTAGAGGCGCAGACCCACCGCGGGGTCATAGAGCGCGCTCTCCGGGGTTAGATGTGCGGACGGGGAAAACGCATAGCCCTCCATGCCACCAATCTCCTGATTTGAGGGATAAACATCCTGTAGAAACTGGCCTTCGTTCTCTGGCACTGGTGCGTCTGCGGTTCCGCAACGAGAAAAGCATGCGTTGAGATGGGCTGAACGGTCGTGGCACAAGCATGCTAGGCGCGGTGGCAAGGGGGATGGTCGTACCCAAAAGGCAACTAATATTATGATGCTGGCACAGAATGAGGTCCAACAGCGTGGTACCACTACATGACGAGCAGGTGCGGGGCGTCAGGCGCGAAGCGGGGTGAAAGGCGTCGCTCAAAGGCAGTCGCACCTGTGGAACTGGCCAATGACAAAGATGTACTGATGCTTGGCTAGGGCATCGCTAGCATTGGCAGAGGCACGCCCTGTACCCGCCGCCCCGCACACGATGCCCACGAGGAGCAAGAGTCCTGTCACCATGACCAGAAAGCGTCTTTGAAAAAAAAAAAAATGCGAGCAAGCAAGCAAGCAAGAATTGTGTGTGTATGTGTGTGTGTGTGAAAGAAATTGTGTGTTTGAGTTGTGAGCTTGGGGGAGGAGAGTGACTGAGCGAGATGTGTGTTTGTTGTGAGCTTGAGAGAGGAGAGCGAGTTAGCGAGATATGTGTGTGTGTGGGTGTGTGGGTGGGTTTGTGTGCGCGCGATGATCTTCAAAGAGGAAGGTGGCATTTACGAGGACATGCGGATGCATCAATTTTTTCAACTTCTTTATGCATGTATAACAGGAAATACGATTTCACAGTGGCCTGAACACGGATCAGAGAGATTGCGCCAAGAGGCAAAGCGCAGAGAAGACCTCTTGGAAGAAACAGGTCGGGTCGGAATGCCAGCCAACACTGACTAGTACTGATAAGCGTCGCCATCGAATGCGGGCTTGAATGCGCTCGAGCAGCGTTTGCACTGGGAATCAAGAGAGGCACGGCATCGGAGAGCATCAGGCTGAGGCAGCGGTCAGACCAGCGACAGGTGCTCATCTCACGTACTGTCAGGCTCTGTGCAAGAGTAAATAAAAGGGTTGCGACTGGCCTTGAGCAACACACCCAACATCTATTGTACCGGCCAGCCGTGAAAGACGCCATCTCGCATGAACGTTGTGTGAATGTGGGTGCACTGTGTTTGATGTTTGCGAATGGCCAAACAAGGCCGAGAACACACAACAACAAACGGGCAAGCCGTCGCACCTTTCGCGCAAGCGCGTTGGGAAAGGAGCGGGCAATCATACGCTGGATCACAGTGATCCCTTCCTACGCAACAGGAGACTCATCAGCAAGACGAGCGCTAGGGTGCGAGCACCATCAGACCACGGGCGCGGACAGTTTACGCAAAAAGTACCAAATTGGTGGCGTCCACGTCTGCGCCGTACTTGTTGATTAATAGTTGTGCCAGGGCCCACCGAAAGTTGTTGCACGCGCAGAACAAGGGCGTCTCTCCATGCTGTCGGACAAACGAAGCCATACCAGGAATTGAGGGGTCTCGCATGAAGGCTTGAGGAGCCAAACGCTTATATTGGGTGCCGCGCGCTGGTGTCGTTGAAGAAACACTTTCCAACCTTGTCTTGGGCATTGACGTTGGGGTGGTGATGCTGCAACAAATGCAACACCAGCTGGACCTGGTTGCGGCGACATGCAGCATGCAATGGCGTATATCCGTCCTGTGCCAGCAGAAGCACGCCATGCACATCAAAAGAAAAACAAAACAAAAAAACAACAATGGTGCCTAACGAGATGGACTAAGGAAAAAGTAACCTGTGCATGACCTACATTATCTTGTGCATCAACGTTGGCGTGGTGGTCCTGAATCAGCACGTTGACGACATTGAGGTGGCTATTGCGTGCGGCGCGATGCAGCGGCGTGTGTCCATACTGCCACCAAAACGATCATCATGAACAAGCTACGTAAAAGGCCGGCGGGAAGCGAGTATGCACAGCTCTGAAATGGAAGCAAGCAGTTCAAAAGGCCTACGTTATTCTGGGTGTCCACACAGGCTTGGTGCTCTGCTAGCAGCAATCGAACCACTTGGGTATGGCCCCCTGAACAGGCTTCATGCAAAGGGGTACCGCCATCCTAATCAACACCCAAGATCAGCTTTTGAAGCGACGATGTTGCACGCCCCTTTGAATTTGCTAGTCAGCTCGGAGGCTCTCTGCCAAGTCATAACTCGCAATTTGTGTTTTTTTCTCAGGGTCACGTACGTTGTTGCGTGCTTCCACATTGGCGTTGAAGCTTTTTAACAAAAGTCGGGCCACCTCGGTGTGTCCATTCAGGCAAACAATGTGCAGTGGTGTTGATCCGTTCTTTATAAAAGAGGGCATAGCATGAGCACTCAGCAGTTGTGAAGAGGCATGAGGAATACCCTCTCACACAGGTGGAAAAATACAAACCAAAACACACGGCGAGCGCGAGACTGGGTGGGACACTGACCATGTCGGGGACTTCGGGGTCCGCATGGCATTCGATCAGCAGAGCATGCACCAGATCAACATGTCCACGACGGCAGGCTCGGTGCAAAGGCATGCAGCCATCCTAGTCGTGTTTGTCGGGTGCAATGGCCAAGTGAATTTTGACACGTTGTGCGTGTCGGGTCTGCGCTGCAGGTATCTCGGGTTGAATCGAATGAGCAAACCTGAGCACAGGCCGCCGCAGCTTGCCGACGCTTCGAAGAGCTGGACCACTGCAGCAGCAGCTGCAGGGCCTCGTCTTGCTCGGGCAACTCGCATGCCACGTGTAACCGCTCTCCGTCCGACATGGTGTTGGCACGCGATCAACATCAAAAATGCTTGCAGTCAACCGAGCTATTTCGTCAATCACCAGCCACCCATGACCCAGCCACAACCGTGCGAATGTGCGACGCACTCCTCGTTCACTGATTCTCTCTCTCTCCCTCACCACCACCACATTCAGCGACAAACCCAACGTCCCAGCCCAACCTCGGCGACCGTTCCAAATTCGGCTCGCCGACCAAGTTGAGCGATTTGTTTTCATGCGGCTCCGACGTTCGCTGTAGTTGTTGTTGAATATATGGTAGTAATCGTAGAAACATTAATGTAGTGAGGGATACTTGATGTAGTTTCTCAACGACTATGTGTAGAAGATTGTCAACGACGGCTCCGTGTTGGAAGTAAATGCAGTAAAAATGGCAGTAAATGTAGTTATAATAATTCATATAAGTGAAGTTGTGGCAGAAAATATATGACATAATGTTGTTGTTGGAAACTTGTTTGAAGCCTTGGCGCGTCTCCTGATAGCTCATATCTACAGCGCGACGCCTCTGTAGCGCAATGGCGTCGGTGTTTGCAATGTGTTGAGACACTGATGGATGTCACTTGTATGCACAGCGATCCTTGATCACTTTTCTACTTGAAGGGTGATGGAGGAGTCTTTACTTTGCAGAGCGCAGTGTCCAGGGTCAAACACTCTTTCTTTACAGCAAGCTTTTCAGCAGGACAGACATGACGCTTCACTAAAGTCCTGGCATGTGCCAAGATTGTCCAGCATGATCTCGGCGATTGTGGCGTTGAGGGACGGATTGCTGCACACGGACACGGTATCACCCACTTCGACGAGCGAGCCAAGTCCCTCGATGCTTTCCAACGCAGCATTATTCTGTTGATACCCACAAGATTAAATGACGACTGTCAATGAAGCCCCGGCTTATCACGCGTAGCTTACCGATATGTGAAGAGCACCACCAATCTTGGTGAGGCGACTCAGACCGTCGACATTTTGTAAACCGTTATTCACCTATCCAGCGCCACCCGGAATCAAAATAAATTGGGTAACCACAAAGTAAGCTCCCTGGCATTGCAGGGTCTCTGACGGCAGGGCTAGTGACTGGACGCACGAGTTGGAACGTACGCGAATATTCAAAGTATCGTTGACTGAGCTGAGTTGATCCAGGCCATCAAGGTCACCCAGTTTCGGGTTGAGCTAGAAAGCCGTCCAGTGTGTGCGTCAGCAAAGTTGCACTGAAAAAACCTCCTGACATCCCCTTCCAACATTGTCCTTTTTCTCAAAAGTCATAGCGAGGGACATGGCACATGACAGAATGGAATTTACATGTTAGTCGCGCAAGTTTCGACTCACAAAAATGTTAACTGCGCGACCGATCGACTTGAGACCAAAAAAGCCGTCGACATTCCTCAGCTCGTTGTTATTCTACAAGGCCCCCTGTCCCGATGAAGAGGCACTACGACACGGGTTCCAGAGCGGTTTAAAGTGTGCGGTGTCAACTCACCGTGATGGTCAAATCTTGGCCGATGGTTTCCAGACTGTTCAAGCCATCAACTCCGGTCAAGGCGCTGTTGTACTGCATAGATTCAAGTGTCAAATCGACAAGTGAAAAGAACCGCTTAGTACAAAATATGGGGGCAATACACCAATGCGGGATCTTGGGTCGATCATGTCGCCTCACTTCAAAGCTTAATCTTGCGCCGACTGCAGCGAGACGGTTCAAGCCACTGATGGCGGTCAAGTTATTGCCCTGGCATTTACAAAAGCACCAAGTAGCCCTGAGGCACGACGCCGCAAGCTGCAATGACATCGCAAAAGCGCATACCTCAATTACCACGCTGCCTCCAACCCAAGTGAGCTCATCGAGCCCATCGATGGTCTGCAAGGCGTTGTTATTCTTGCGGGAGGATGACAAGAACATGCCGCCAAGCCCAGCATCAACGATCAGGAATGAGGGTGCCGCGAGTGTCACCGTTCTGTGACTTTGATCACTTGTGACCATCATGTTGTCTGAAGGACTCGTGTGGACGAGAGCTCGACGACTCTGGGTTTACATGATAGCATCAATACCACAGGTTAGACTCACGGATATCTCTACATTGCCACTGACGCGGGCCACTGTTTGCAAAACTTGAAGCTGGGAGGCAAGCGAGCCGGTGCACCCGATAAAGATGATGCTGCCGTTGACGTGCGTGACATTATTGGGTACGCCGTTCAGGTCGCAGTGTACCGGGCCATCAAACACCACTGGCGTCGGCGTGGGCGGCAGGGGGGCCGCGGTGGTTGAGGCGTCGACGCCGCAAATGACGCGCAGCTCTTCAATCTCTTTCAACACGTCCACGCCATTCAATAGAATTCGTTTGACACTGGACGGCGAGTTGTGAATGTGCAAGTTGCCGTTCTCATCCGTCTCAATGACGGGATCAGCTCCACCCAGTGACCACCCGCTTGCCGCCACCACAACCGCCACGGCAAAGCCCAAACGCCGACCGAGCACCCCCGCCATTGCCACTGCGATCGTGTGGACCGCACCTGTCGACAAAAAAACAAAAAACAAAACAAAAAAAGGCAGAAAACACAAAGGAATCAACACAGAGTCCGAAGCATCAATTGTCAACAAAACCAGAACGACGCAGCGTCAAGTACATCGGATGAAAGTCTTACATGTAGTACAACAGTCCATCGCCTTAAAATGGATTCGGATGTACATCCGATGTACATGTACATGAACTGTACAGACACCGAATATTTGTTACCTTTGGACATTTGTTACCAAAAATAAATTTTTTCCCCGTTCCTTTTCCCTCTGTTGGAGGCTGGAGCTGTCTGGCAAGGAAGATAAACAGCAGCGCCCTGGTGGCCACTCGATCAATCTTCATAAATCAAAAAGTGGGGTACATTTTTTACCCCATTAACTATGGTTGAGCCAGTTTTCGAATGCTCATCTCCTTGGATTCCGCTGATATGTGGCTGCCATTTCGGGTCATCCCACCTCGGCTGGCAGACAGCCGCCATGCGGCATCGCCGGGGTAAACAGGCATGTACAGGGGTTGCAACGGCCGGGCATGATGAAAGCCGGGTTTGTCAAGGATATCGGTGCGCCTTGGAGCTGAAAACTGCTTCACTGTGTGACTCTTTGGTGTTGGAACGTTGACATTTCCCCGCATACAGCTGACAGTGGTATTTGTGTCTATAGGCCGAGCGTCGAGCCAAGGCAGATCGTGTATCCCAACTCCTACGTCAGCTCACGGCGGGTTCGATGACGTCCTTTGAAGTTCAACAGTATTTAGAGGTTGATGGCCTTCGTCAATTGGCGCGTCAACAACTTGGCAGCCTGGTCAACCCTCTTACGAGCGCCAGTGCCCGGAGGGGGCGCCCCAATCGATCCGACGGGCTTCTGAAGCTGTACGGTATCACCAGAGCCGATCCTGTGGCTGCGCAACGGCGGAGACAGCGAGGCATCCAACCTCATGACGGCAGGCGGATTCTTCTGGCGCATGAGCGTGTAGCTTTGACAAACTGGTAGAGACCTGCAGTGAGAAGCGTGCGTGTGAGAGCCGTGGCATGATCGTGGAGGTTGTGTGCGAGCTTCTTGAGATTCGTCGCAGTGCCCGAGAGGATGCACTCAATATGAATAGCGAATTGCTTGATCGGATTCCCAAACTCAGCTCTGCTGAGCTTGCTCTTCTTGCTCGTCATCAAGAGGCTGAAAGCTCGGACAACCCCATGAGCCAGGCGCGTTTGAGCGATGACTGGTTTCGAGGATTGGAGTCCGACTCGGACCTACATCTTACCACCGCGGTGACTCAGAATCCAGCAAGAGTAACAGCTGCAACAGCCGAGGCTTGTACACGGCATTTTTCGAGTCTTGACGAGCTCTTGGCAGACCTTGACTTCGTTCATCGCTCAGGGCGTCATGCTGGCATGATCAAAACCAACTGTAAGTTGACTTTCCTAGATAGCACGAGCGCTGCTGCCTGTCTACATCTGCGTGTGCTGCAAACGTACTTTTGTATCCTCCTGATGCATGTCTGTTCTTATTGATGCCGGCCCCTAGGTCTTGGCCGAAGCTTATCCGTGGATGAGATGCCTGGTCTCCGCGCCGGATTCACAAGGAATGTCAAGGTGTATTCCTCAGCCGACCGAACTGTAGATCAAGGGTGTCTTCCCGGACGAACCTACAATGTGACGATCACGCTGGTTCTCAGCATTGCAATGGATGGGACCGTGTTGCCGCCAATGGTGATTCATGCAAATCGTGGTCTTGGAGGAGACGAGGTTGGGCCGGCACACCTCCCCGAATCAATCACGGGCAACCCAGACTATTCGCATTTTTTTTGCTGTTCAACGAAAAGTGGTTGGATCAATCGCCACCTCTTCGTCGCCTTTTGTCGGCGAATCAGATCTTTTCTCGGGCATACCGAGCCCATTATTCTGCTTTCGGATGGACACAGCACTCGCATGTCGCTTGCAGTCACCAACTACCTTCGCTCGATCAACATTTTTTTTATTTTTGATCCCCCCGAATACGAGCCATTGCCTATCCCCGAATGATCAATGGCATCAACATATCAATCGGACACGTATTTCTTATACACTGCGCCATTCACGGCAGCTAGTTGGAGAGGCAGCCACCCTCGACGAGGAATTGTGTGCTCTTTATTTTGCCATCCACTTTCAAAGCAGTCAAGTCAAACGGGCACAGGCTGCCTTCCGCCATGCAGGCATTACGCGCTTGGAGCGAGCTGTGAGACACATGAAAAACCAACCCTCACACGTTGAACTCGAGGGTACAGCAGTGACGCCTCCCCAAAGCCCGGCAAGCACGCCATCTGGTTCAAGCACTCCGAGGTCTAACACAACGCCGCAACCACTGGTACGGGTTTGGGAGTTTTGATGAAGGCCGGGCGCACTTCGATCGTCTGGCTGCGAGTTTTCGCGCCTTGAAGAGCGTCATCAAGATATGATTCGCTCAACGCCGCGTCAGCGCCGCCTACTCGATCGCATCACGCCTCAAGAGCGGGCACGACGGCAACGTGCCCCCCTTTTTTGGGCCAATGCCATCGGGGCCAAGCGCCGCAGATCTCGAAGGGCGTGAGCGGCGCCGTGTTCATCTTCATGCGTCGAGGGAACGACGAGCAGTAGGAGTGGCAAATGAAGCTGATCTACGTGCTGCTTTAAACGTACAACGCATCACGATTGCCAACCTGAAAAGCTTCTGTCGATCGCATTGCCTCGGCACGACTGGCAGCCGTGCCGAGCTCATCGCACGCACAAGGACACAACTCGATCTCCCACAGCCCCCAACCACTCCCTCATCGCCAGGCAGGCCAGCTGGGGAGGTATTCGAGCCTTTGGCAACCCTTTTGGCGCAGATTGAGTCCCGAGAGGACGCCGAGCTTACTCCCATGCCCGCGTCTTCGCCGCGTGATGACCGAAATTCACTTCCCTCAGATTCAACCCCGCCCACTCTTACAGCAGCATCAGCAGCACCTTCTCTTGACCGAACCGTTGGAGAGGAGCCTCAAGAACCTATTGCGCGTGTCGGAGGTCACTTTGCAGACTCCGATCTCCAGTTTTGGCTCCGAGACTATACCTCTCAAACTCAGGACGCAACAAGCCCTGAATCAAACGCGCCAGCCGCGCCTCTGGCCTGCTCAAATACAGACCAGAACGAGATCGATTTGCTCATCAGGGCTTGCGACGAGAGTACCAAAAAGTACAATGCGTATATCGACTCACTGATCGCACTAGAGCCCCATACTTCCACGTCTTAAAAATATCACGAATTAAACCTTGTTTATTACAACCACCACCACTGCACGAAAACCCACTTTTCTACTGATTTTTCTCGCCCTACCTAGTTGAGCATCTTTGAAAAGCTGGTTGCCCAAGCCTCCCTGCACCATCATCCCCGATAGACGAGAAACGTCGTGTATCAAGTTCTCACAAGTTCCAGAGCAGGCACGTCCTATAGAAGAAACAAAACAATAATATAGCTCTTGATGTAGGGCAGCTATGCTCACAAAATGGCATCTGATAGATTCAACAGATCTGCGCGGTTCGAATCATCCCAAGTGGGCTGAGATCTGACCACAATCAACGCCGACCGCCACCCAACAAATCACCCCTATGAGGTGCGACCTCCTCTCCAACAACCATTTTTTGACAACATTTGTGTAAGGGCGTGTTTGGAAAAGCATAAATCTGTATTTTGTGGGTTTCTTTGACTTTCACCTTGTCTTTGACCGAAGGTGCTGGGATCAAAACTGATGCTGTAACGTTTCAATCTGTGAACTGGTTGTCAAAACACAAAAGTTGTCAAAAATATGGAAATAAAAATCTGACACTCTCTTCACAGAGTTGCTTTGTACAAAAGTGTCACGGCATATCGATTGGTTCTAGTGACCGTACCACTGTGGGTCAGAAACGGAAAACTCTGTTCTTCCAAACTCACAAAACGCCCAAAATAATCAACAAAATGCGATTTTCTCGGATCAAAAACAGATTTATGCTTTTCCAAACACGCCCTATTTTGAAAAAATTTATTTTTGGTAACAAAAAGGTGACAAATACCCTCGGTGACTGTACATTAACAAGATGGATGTTCAACTATGTGGATTCTATTCAGGAAGACGGCGGCCGCGAAAATCACCACTTGCGCTTGTGAGGGAATGTTAGCAGGTGAGGCATTCCATCTCAAATCACAGGAGTATCGGGAGCGTCGGGCAATTGTCCCTCCTTGTCCAGGTTAGGCCGCTCAGTGCGAGTGTGCCACACGAGCAATCGCTTGACGCCAGTATCGAGAACCTCGAGCTTGGCATCTGGTCCGAGGAGCTGCTCCAAAAACGTCGTTTCTAGCTGCCCTAAAGGAGCTTGAATTGGGAATTCCACCTTTCTCTGTTCCAGCAGACGCACGGAAAAAGCAAAAGATGCCATGTCCAGGGGGTACGGTCGATCTGGCGCCCAGCCGACGTGCCAGCCGGTCAGCTTGGGGCCTTGGGGTGTCATTTCCGACAGCGGCCCGCTGTAACGCATTCTCCCCAAGAACCCCACACGCCACACACCAATCTATTCATGGCAGTGTAGTGGCAGGAGAGGTGAGCAAAGAATACCTCGTTCCTACCAACGACAGCTGAGCCGACAGACCGTATGGACATTGCGCATACGCTTAAACAGCTCAATGGAATAGGTATTGTCGTCATCGGCAAAGTATACCACCGCGTTTCCCTCGCCATCCTACAGTCAGGGCGTGCGCAGGTGCTTGATGCATGTTAGAAGCTGTCAAAACCCTCGACCACGCTCTGAAGGGTAAAGTTATTTTTTTGTTTAGTTGGTGTCGCACAAGGACGTCGTGACTTGCCTTGTGCACAAGTCGGCGAACCTCAGCCAAACCAGCATTCCGTGGTGCCGAGCCCCTGGTCAAGGGTAACTGCACATGCCGATTCCAAGGTCAGTGGCTGACAGCCAAGAAGTTGGCATATCCGACACAAAGCATGGAACTAACCTGCTTGAGGCCTAACCGATGCTCGAAGCAGCCAATTTGGCGATTCACAGTCTTGCAGATCTCTCCATTCGGCAGCGGTGGTGTGGCCGCGTGCAGGTGTGAATAAGGAACCCCGCATTCAGCTGAGAAAGCGTGGAACAAGAAGACACCGACGCAGTTAAGAAGGGGTGAGAAAAAGAGGAGGGGGAATCGACGGTACAGACCGAGAAATTCTCCAACGTGTGGCGACAACTCTGCAGCATCTTCGATGACAATCCAGTGTACACGCGGAACCAGCAGAAGTGTCTGCACGCCCAAAGAGGAAACCATTCGCGCACAATGAACCAGACAGAGTCAGGAGTGAGTTTCGGCGTGAAAACAGACTAAAGCACCGGAAAATTCTCCACCACCTCAGCTCCTTCTGCGGCCCGCGACAAGTTTGTGATCGCCAAAAAGCCTGACGAAGGGACGCATACCTGGCATAGGCGGGTCAAATCTGCAAACTGCGTCTCGCGTTGGTACGTTGCCGTGATCAGGTACAGCAAAGGCAGGGACTCGGCCGAGTCCGACGCTGGTACGGTGGTTGTGATCTCCCCGAGCGGGAGGCCCTGCACGTACATCACCAGTCCAAATGTCACCAGTGCCACCAGCATGAAACAGCTAATGGCTTCTCGAGGCGCCTCTCGCGAGACGTTTTGCGGCGCCATCCTGCCCCAATGTAGCTCGGAAGGGAGGCGGCCCAATGTAGCTCGGAAGGAAGGCGGTCCCTCAAAAAAAAAAAAAATAAAAAAAAAAAAAAAAAAAAAAATTATCCACCTCAGAGATCATCATGAACATGTAAGTGCAATTTAAGTCACACTATGTGACACAAGTCAGAAGTTTCTTCATCGCCTTCTCAGCCGTGCTTGCACGCACACGGACACAACTCGATCTCCGACAGCCCCCAACCATTCCCTTGTCGCCAGACAGGCCAGCTGAGAAATGTATTCGAGCCTTTGGTGACCCCTTTGGCGCGGACTTAGTCCTGAGAGGACGCCGAGCTCGCCCCCATGCCCGCATCTCGGCAGCTTGATGACTGAAATTCACTTCCCTCAGATTCAACCCGCCCACTCTAACAGCAGCATCAGCATCCTTCTCTTGACCGAATCGCTGAAGAGGAGCCTCCAGAACCTATTGTGCATGTCGGGGGTCACTTTGCAGACGTCGATTTCCAGTTTTGGCTCCGAGACTATACCTCTCAAACTCTCTCAACCATTTCAGGACACAATTACAACCGCCACCACTGCACGAAAATCCACTTGTCTACCGATCTTTTTCGCCCTACCTATTTGAGCATCTTTGGAAAGTTGGTTTCCCAAGCCTCCCTGCACTGTATCAAGTTTTCACAAGATCCAGAGCAGGCACGTCCTATAGAAGAAACAAAGCAATAATATAACTCTTGATGTAGGGCAGCTACGCTCACAAAATGGCATCTAATAGATACAACAGATCTGCGCGGTTCGAATCATCCCAAGTGGGCTGAGATCTGACCACAATCAACGCCGACCGCCATCCAACAAATCACCTCTTGTAGGTGCGGCCTCCTCTCCAACAACCATTTTTGACGACGGTTTGAAAAATTTATTTCTGGTAACAAATTCTATCATCAAGTCGGTGTCACAAATGGCAGTGCCAACATGGCTGCAACTGCCGGAATGACTCGTGATGGTGAGATGATGAAGAATCACCGTGTCTTGTTTGGTCTCCCAGCTCAACAAGGCGGCAGCTCACCACGGCCTACGTCTGAGGCGCGAAGGGCGTCAGTCCAGGGTGCTCGTGCCATTTGCGCCAGTGCTGATCAAGAACCTCTGATCAAGAGGGAGGATGTCAATGTGGATAATCAGGCCCATCAAGCAGAGTGGCTTGGTACCATGCGCCAGCTTGAGCATCCAAACATCATTCCGGTCCTCGGTGCGTTTGTGGACGTGCATGGTGGTCACCCGAGCGCCTATCTGGTGCAGCCGTGGTGTACGTAGGGGGATCTGCAGCAGTGGCTCGGTAGGGCGCGCCATCTGGCCACCTCGACCGTGATTGCGGGGTTGATGATTCAGCTGCGCATGGCCCTGGCCTTTATGCATAGTAAGGGCCTGATGTCAAGCTGAGCAATGTGATGCTGGACGGTGACGAGGACCAACCTGTTGTGCGGCTGGGCGATTTCGACATTACCAGGGCCGCAGCTGAAGTCACGAAAATGCCTTGCACGGCCACCGCGTCGTCGGGCACGACTGGCTATGTGGCACCGGAGGTGCTTTTCGGCCGGGGTCGAGTGGGGGCGCGTCCGGCACAGGATGCCTTTTCCTTTGGCTGTGTGCTGTACAACACCTACATGTACCCGCAGACGGTGTCACCTGCTCTATCTCCGAGTGATGAGGTTGTGGATCATTGCAGATGGTTTGTGCAAACAGGAGATGGTGGCTGCAGCTTTCCGCACTTGGCGGCTGAGGTCGGTGATGTCTGCTGCTCTTGCTGTTTTGTTCTTCTTTTTGTTTCTGAGCCACTCTATCTTGTTGTAGTTGTTGACATCTATGTTTGTGTGCAGATGTGTGACGTGACGAGCGATTTGCACAAGGAAACACGGGCCTTGCTTGCAACAGATCCGAAGCAGCGGCCAACTCTCTTCAGCGCCGGGCAGGGTGTGCAGCGACCTGTCACGACCCAAGTTGTTGGGCCAGCCATTGACGTTTTGCGCGACGCACCCGAGCTCATTCCCGAGGTGCGTTACTTGCTGATATGGTTGCAATAATATTCTTTTTATCTTGACAAGCCGACTGATTGTGTATATAGGTGGCTGAGCTGCTACAGCAGTTGAGCACGGACGGGCGAGGACCAGGCAACGTTGCAGCGAAGCGGGTAGAGCGCGTGCACAACCCGGTGCTGTGGGAACGCTACAGCGCAAAACGACGCAAGATGCTGCACCGCCTCACGAGTCAGGGGCACTATGATTCACTTGTAACCACCACATCGAACGCACTTCGGGGCTGTCCAGCTTTGCTTCGGGATACACCCTGTCAAGAGCGCCTGCTGCTCCACGGCATCGCGCCCGCGCCATTGCGGCGCGAGAAGATTGTGCGCCTGGGCCTAGACTATCGCTTTGCCGGCAGCCGCGCGGGCCACAAGTATGGACTTGGCGTTTACTTGGCTGACCATCCCGGCAAGGTGTGATGGAACCGTTGGTTTGCAAGGCTCTACGTGCTTGTCATCACTTTGGTTTATTGACGCTGTGTGTCTACTTGAATCTGGGTGTAGAGTCACAACTATGCGACGCCCAGAGGAAACGGTGCACGCATTCTCATCGTCGCGCGAGCCCTGTTGGGCCGTGCCTATGTCCATGCTTCGCCTCCTTCCGGGGCACTGGCTCCCCCGCTGCTGCCCCATGCGCCCAACAACGATCGGTATGTCGAACAAGATGCAATGCCGTCGAGTCCCGTCTCACAGTTTGATGGGACTCGGGCTTGGTTGTCTTGCAGATTTGATTCTGTCATTGCTACATCGCAAAATACGTTTCGCGAGGTGATAATGTTCGACAACGCCCAGATTTACCCGAACTAGTCGTCTACTACACTGCCTAGATGTTTTCGTTGGGATCCTATGTTGTGCAGTCAAATCATGCTCTCCCAGACACTTGCACTGCTTTTGCACACATGCAGCGTCGTTCACCACAGGGCCTCCTCGTTGGGGATACCTGAAGGTGGCTCGACTTTGCTTGCACATCCACGCACAAACTTTGAATGTGGGAAGGCTCACAGGTCAACCTCGCGTGTGTTTCAAATACTTTGCAAAGTCTTGGCAGACTGACCTGCCTGATCCGCCTTTGACTTCCGTTGTCTCTTCTTGTTGTGATACCTGCGCTTGGACACGCGTCACACTTTCCCTGATTCTCAAGCCAATTCAACCGTGTGCCTGGTCTGGTCACCGTGAATACTTTCCAACCACAGCTGGTATAATCGACCTCAGAAATATCCTGTTCCATCCCGGGCGTACCGCAACCGTGTGCTGGAAGCAGCGATAAAACTCAGGATTGCCGAGAAATTCTGCGATGCCACGACACTCCGGCTTGCCCGAGGAGAAACCAAGAGCAAGCGCAAAAAAAAAGCACAGTCATTGTAAGCGCGCCTCGCACTCGTCCAAACAACTCTTCTGCCATGCCCACCTGGCCGGCGAGCGTCATGAGCGCGATCACGTGGCCCTCGCCTCTGAGATCAAAGTCATTTCTTCTCGTACTGGTTTGGCCGATACTGTATTCAGATGCGTCATGTAGCCCGTGGCTTGAAGAATGTGTCACAGCCGAACGTGTCGAATCGAACGAGGGGGACCTCAGCAGAGCTGTCATGGCTGGCAAAGGGGCAGTACACGTTGTAAGTGCGTTTTGGAATTTGCTTTAGGATTTGCTTTGGATGACCGTCTTGATTTTTTTTTTGATAAAAAGAAAAAAAAAAATTCAGGGAGTGTGTGTGTGTGTGTGTGTTTTCATTTTTCATTCGTTCCCTCTTTGGCTTTTTGCTATTTGCCTTTGACTTCTTCTTTTTCTTCTTGTTGTTGTTGCTCTCTTTGGCAGCGGTCTCGGTCTCGATATCGGCATCGGCGGGCTGCTTGACGTGTCTTGCTTTGTGTGTGCGTGGTGACTGATTGCTTGTGCTTGGTACGGGACTCTCCTGGTTGGGGCCTTGCGGCGACGCCACGTTTTGATTGAAAGCACTGCTGCCATTTTTTTTGCTTTCTGTGAGGCCACTGATCTCGCCTCACAGTCGACAACGTGCGCTTGGGCAACCAAGTCCGCCTGTCCTCGCCACTGTCATCGAGAACTGTTGACCAAAGGTGAGTCGTTTGGCGCACCAGACAGAGAAGAGCAAAGAGCCCGCTGACCGGCTGCCGCGCCTGTCGAATCGAATTTTGAGTTGTCAGACGAGTTGTACTTGGAGGGGGCTCATGAGATTGATGGTGGATCGAGAAGCAAGAGAGCGGTTTGAAGCGGATGGTGAAGCGGAGAGATATCGTTACCATGAGCGATGATGGAGAGCAGCTGTTCAGTGCGTGTGATTCATCAGATCCACAAGAGGCGCTGCAGCTGGTGACCAGTTGGGACCAACAACGTGTACGAGATGCTGCCCAATACAAAGGTGGTTGGGTACGTGGTATGCTGTTGTGTGATATTGAATATGTCACTGGATGAGGTGACGTTATGGTATAACATGGGACGTTTGCATCATCCCACAGTTTGGCAATACACCACTGCACGAGGCCTGCTTCATGGGTCATGTCAAGGTGGTGGAGATGCTGTTAAAGCACGGTGCTGATGCTGAAGCCAAGACCAGCGTCAGTACAGCACCTCCCTCTTCCCCCTTTATCCCCCCATGAAGGTCCACCTGTACCACATGATGATGATGATGATGCTGATGCTGATGATGCTGTACCTACCTGTACGTCATGCTGAGGCATCATCCCACAGGATGGCGATACATCACTGCACAGGGCCTGCTATAAGGGTCATGTCAAGGTGGCGGAGATGCTGTTGAAGCACGGTGCTGATACTGCAGCCAAGAATAACGTTAGTCCAATACCCCCCTCTTCCCCCCTTTACCCCCCTGTGATGCTACACCTGTACCACATGATGATGCTGATGATGATGATGCTGTACCTGTACGTCATGCTGATGCATCATCCCACAGGGTGGCCATACACCACTGCACTATTGCGTTTACGGTCATGACAAGGTGGCGGAGATGCTGTTGAAACACGGTGCTGATACTGAAGCCAAGAACAACGTCAGTACAGTACCTAACCCTCTTATCCCCTTTACCCCTCTGGCTGCTGCTCCTGCTCTCGCTGCTCGTCGCCTTTGCTCCGTCTCTCACTCCTCTACACCCTGCCCACCGTTCGCATCCATTCTGCCTCCTGCTCCTCTTCTTCCTTCCCGCCATCCCTTTTCCCCGTTTTGCGTACACGTCTTGTCGGTGCTCCCTGCACCCCGCTCTGTTCCGTTGTATCTTGAGCCTGCTTCCCTTTTCCAATGTCGTGACTTCATTCTGGACGCTACTCCATCCCTTGCCATCGTGCTTCTGCCTCCCTCGCACACTCAAGTGGCTTTCAATGGCCGTTTCTTCAGTTTTATCCCGGCAGACTCGACGCTCAACCCCCCCAAAAAAAAAAAAAAAAAAAAAAAAAAAAGAACACGTGCCTCATGTTTCTGATTATTGATGATCCTCATAGGACGGTCAAACGCCGCTCCAACTAGCCTGCGCTGCAATACATCCCAGCCGAAAGGTTGTCCAGCAACTCTTGCGTCACGGTGCCAACCCAGATGCGAGAGATCTTGTAAGCCTTTTACCATAATGCCGTACCTTTTGCGGCTGTTCTGCTGCACCTGCGATTGATACCTGATGACCTGCTGTGGCAGAGGGGTGCACGACCCTTGGATCTGCTTCTAGGCAGGGGTCGCATCAAACTGGAGGTGGGTCTTTTTTTATTTGTGGTACTAATTGCAGAGGCAAGCTTGCTTACCGATGAAGCTGTTTCCCTTTATAGGTGATCACAGAGCTACTGGGCGCAACCCAAACGCTTTGCTCCTACCAAACTTCAAATTCCGATGGTGCGAATCTGATTCCCATGTCATTGTTCGCATTGTCTTGTTCTCATCGGAATTCCACGCGGTGCCAGTCCAAGGCTTGATCCATGCGGAGCAGGCCAGACGCTGGCGGTGCGCTGCTGCTGTTCTCTGTAGCGTCGGCTGGCGCGTGGATCCTCAATTGTTCAATATCACAGATTTACAAATCCTTGTTGACTGCGTGGCCGCTCTAACGTCCGCCGCTCAAGCTGCACCTACAAATTGACATGTGAAATATGTGACGCTTGTGGTGGGCTTGTCGATGAAGCAGAGATTGAAGTCAACGTATTGGACTACGAGCATATACGTACGTCCAGAAGCTACTGTATCACTGGAAGACACCAGTCCCAGCGATGTACTGTATCACTGGAAGACACCAGTCCCAGCGATGATGCTCGATTATTCTTCACAGCGAGGAAGCATGTCGAACACCGTGGTCGTTCCTGCCATCGAGATATAAGTACGGTCCTGTAGACCAAGGGAGTGGCATTTTGAGCTTCATCGGGGGCGCTGAGTGACAAAGCCAGCATGCAGGTAGGACGGCACGCAACGTCTATGGCCGTACCCAGCTTGATCACAGTGAAACTCGGGTGCTTGATGGCTGCGCGCCAAGCTGTGGGTCACTGCCAAAAAAAAAAGACGGGTGTAGTGTGAGATCGGGGGGTTTTTTTTTCGCTCCAACTCTTGTGCCACATCGAAACAGGTTGTCCGCGGCAGCGACTGTCTCTTCAAACCCACGGATTGGCAGTGTGCCAATGCGGTACCGTCAATTGGCAATGTCGTTCACGATGCAGCATTTGTCAGTGGCTTCGGAGAGGCAAAGTGGAAATGCGCGAAGGGTACATTTTTCCGGATTTCGGTCTATCTCTGCTTGTGCTAACCTGTCGCATGTGCACGAGGTGAGTCAATTGACGCTCCCTTTGCCTGACGCTGTTGCGTCCTTGCTGGCCCAAACGCCCTACGTATTCCATTCATCACGACGGGCACATGTGTTTGCGTCAACCTAGGTGGTTGGTGAAGAACGGTTTCCAGTTTCGTTTCGCACGAAAGCAGTCACATGTGGTCGTGTAACGTCTTGTAACAAGGCCAGGATCAGTGAAGGCATGACCTGATTGTGGCCTGCATCACAGCGAGGTCTTCAAGACAATGCTCGCATCTGCGTTGACCAGACGCACTGGGAAATGACCAACATGAAAATCGCCACACAGTGTTGGTAAACGACCGGCTTGCCTGTGTGCTGCTAGATTAAGAAGCATTTTGAAGAGTCGGGATCAACGCGAAGGCAGGCATCGACGATCAACGCCTCGACGACTGTCGAGACATCAAGGAGCACCGCGACCGTGTGCTGGAAGCAGTGATGAAACTCAGGATTCTGAGAGACCGAATGGCGTCGACAGAGTGCTCGAATGATTGCCTGAACGGCTCATGCTGCTGCTGCTGATGATGATGTCACGACACTGCGGCTCGCCCGAGGAGCAGAAACCAACAGCCAGCGCAAAATAAAATAAAAAAAGAAGACGAAGAACATGAAGCACAGTCATTGTGAGCGCGCCTCGCACTCGTCCGACCAACTTCTCTGCCATGCCCAACTGGCCGGCGAGCGTGATGAGCGATCACGTGGCTGTTCCTTGACTCTGAAATCAAAGTCATTTCTTCTCGTACTGGTTCGGCCGATACTGTATTCAGATGCGTCATGTAGCCCGTGACGTGAAGCACGTGTCACAGTCGAACGTGTCGAGCCGATAGAGGGACCTCAGCAGCTATAAGCATTGATTCGCTCTTCCTTTTTGCTCCTGGCAGAGGCATTTGAATGATGTGGGCGCTCTGCCAGGATCTGGGCTGCGCTTGCTCTGCGGGGATTCGGGCCATGACGGTCGGGCTTTCCGATGAAAGAAGTTGGCCAAGACTTCTAGCCATGGCAGTCATTAAAGGGCCAATGTTGCTGGATGCGTGAGGGCATGAGTTTAAAGCTGCTTGAGGGCAGTTAGCCAACGGGCTTGTCAAGCCATGACAGTCAACAAGGCAATACACGTTGTCCGTTGAAGCCCCAATTTTGCAGTGCTTTTGAAGCCGCTTGTCATGGGCGAGCTGTCATGGCTGGCAACGAGGCAGTTCATGTTGTTTCCGAGCGCTTTGGAATTTGCTTGTATAACTGACTTTTTCTCTGAAAGTTAAAAGTTTAAAATAAAAAGAAGAATAGGGTATGTGTGTGTGTGTGTGTGTGTGTGTGTGTGTGTGTGGCATTTTCGTTGTAAACCAAGCTCTTCCTCTCTCTTTGGCTTCTTCTTCTTCTTCTTCTTCTTCTTCTTCTTCTTCTTGTTGGTGTTGCCCTTTTTTGGCAGCGGTCTCGGTATCGGTGTCGGCATCGGCGGGCTGCTTGATGGGTCTTGCTTTGTTTGTGTGTGCGTGACTGATTGCTTGTGCTTGGTACGGGACTTTCCTGGTTGGGGCCTTGCGGCGACGCCTAAACGTTTTGGTTGAAAACACCGCTGCCATTTTTTGATTTCAGTGAGGCCACTGATCTTGCCTCGCAGGTCGTCAGCGTGCGCTGGGCAACCAAGTACGCCGGTCCTTGCAACTGTTGATCAAGATAATTGGCCAAAGGTGAGTCGTTTGCTGCAACAGAAAGAGAAGAGCAAAGTGCTCGCTGACCGGCTGCCGTTTTGGAAACTGCGCGCGTCCCAGAATTTTGAGTTGTCAGACGAGTTGTACTTGGAGGAGGCTCATGAGATTGTTGCAGGATAGAGAAGCAAGAAAGCGGTTTGAAGCGGATTGTGAAGCGGAGAGAGATACCGTTACCATGAGTGCTGATGGAGAGCAGCTGTTCAGTGCGTGTGATTCATCAGATCCACAAGAGGCGCTGCAGCTGTTGACCAGTTGGGACCACCAACGTATACGAGATGCTGCCAAATACAAAGATGATGAGTTTGCTGTGGTATGTAGTTGTGTGACATTGGCTACACTTTGAATGCATCACTGTTATGGTATAACATGGGACATCTACTGCATGTTTGCATCATCTCACAGGAGGGCTATACACCACTGCACTGGGCCTGCGTTTGGGGTCATGTTAAGGTGGTGGAGATGCTGTTAAAGCACGGTGCTGATGCTGAAGCCAAGACCAGCGTCAGTACAGCACCTCCCTCTTCCCCCCTTTACCCCCCTATGATGGTGCACCTGTACCAGATGATGATGATGATGCTGCACCTGTACGTCATGCTGATGCATCATCCCACAGGATGGCTGGACACCACTGCACATGGCTTGCAATAACGGTCGTGTCAAGGTGGCGGAGATGCTGTTGAAGCACGGTGTTGATGCTGAAGCCAAGCACAACGTCAGTACAGTCCCTCCCTCTTCCCCCTTTACCCCCCGATGATGGTGCACCTGTACCCCATGATGATGATGATGATGATGATGATGATGATGATGATGATGATGATGATGATGATGATGATGATGATGATGCTGATGCTGATGCTGTACCTGTACGTCATGCTGATGCATCATCCCACAGCTTGGCTATACACCGCTGTACAATGCCTGCGCTAGCGGTTATGTCAAGGTGGTGGAGATGCTGTTGAAGCACAATGTTGATGCTCAAGCCAAGACCAGCGTCAGTACAGTACCTCACCCTCTTCTCCCCTTTACCCCTCTGGCTGCTGCACCTGCTCCCGCTGCCCGTCGTCTTTGCCCCCGTCCCTATCTCTTCTACACCGTGCCTACCGTGCGCGTTCGTTCTGCCCGTTGCTCCTTTTCTTCTCTCCCGCTATCCCTCTTCTTTCCCCGTTCTCCGTTCGCCCGTTATCGCTGCTCCCTGCACCCCGCTTTGTTCCGCTGTATCTTCAGCCCGCTTCCCTTTTCTGATGTTGTGCCTTCAATCCGAGCACTACCCCATCCCTTGTCATCGTGCCTCTGCCTCTTTCGCGCGCTCAAACGGCTTTCAGTGCCGATTTTTCAAGTTTACCCTGACGCTCCCCTCCGCCCCTTTGAGAAAAAACTGCAAATAGGCTCATGTTTCTGAACATTGATGATCTTCATAGGACGGTCAAACGCCACTCCATGCAGCCTGCAACCCCTTCTCTGCTGGCCGAAAGGTTGCTCAGCAGCTCTTGAGTCACGGCGCCGACCCGGATGCGAGGGATCTTGTAAGCCATTTTACCACAATGTCGTACCTCTTCTGCTCTTCTGCTGCATCTGCGACTGATTTCTGATGACCTGCTGTGGTAGACGGGTGCACGGCCCTTGGATCTGCTCCTTAGCGTGAGTCGCATCGACCTCGAGGTGAGCCTTTTTTTTTTTGTAGTACTGATTGCAGAGGCAAGCTTGCTTACCGAGGAATCTGCATCACTTTATAGCGAATTGCAGAACTATTGCGCGCAACCCGTTCTCCTTGCTCCTACAAAACTTCAAATTCCAATGGTGCGAACCTGATTCCCATGTCATTTTTGCATTGTCTGGTTCTCATCGGATTTCAACGTGGCGCCAGTCCAAAGCTTGATTCATGCGGAGCAGGCCAGACGCTGGCGGTGCGCTGCTGCTGTTCTCTGTAGCGTTGGCTGGCGCGTGGATCCTCAATTGTTCAATATCCAAGATCTACAAACCCTTTGTGACTGCCAGGCCGCTCAAGCTGCACCTACGAATTGAAAAGGGTGACGCTTGTGTCTGGCTTGTCGATCATAAAGGAAACAGACAGTCAAGTCGACGGGCCGGGTGGGCTTTGTCAACCGTTTGAAGCAAAACAGTCTAACAACCACCGCAAAAAGAGCGAGAAACAGCCCTGCCTTCATTCGTCTTGACATCGACTGATGACCATGGTGTCTCGGTAGTGGCGGCTGCGGCGCTGCACGAGCTGGTAATGAGGGGGGCTCGCCGGAGGAGAAACAGAACAAGCGCGAGCCAAAAAAGACAAGAAACACAAGAAGTAACGTCATCATGTATTGGACCACAAGCATAGACGTATGTCCAGAAGCTGTTGGAGTACTGGAAGACGCCAGTCCTGGCGATGATGTTTGATTATCCTTCACGGTGCTCGTCAAGGAGACATGTAAAACATTGTGATTGTTCCCGCCATCGAGATATAATTACCGTCCGGTAGACCTGAGTGTCATTTTACTTTGTACCTTTCCCGTTTATCTTTCCTCTAAGTTGACTGCCGCTGTAGAAGAATGAGGGTTCACTTGGCTGTCGTCTAAACAGGCGTCGGATCAATCGAGATCGCTTCACACTCACGCTTCTTGACTCGATGACATGAGCTGGTTTTGAAGATGCTTTGTGCCAGCCACCGGCCCAGATCATATCAAAGCTCGATATCAGAAGGTGAGGTAGTCAAGTCTACCCGTGAGCCCTTGTGTTTCTCACAATAGACTTGGGTGGCTCGAATTCAAGTTGCTATCCTGACCGAGCAGAAGAGGCTCTGCGACACTTTGGTTGCGGTCCTTTTCAGTGTCGACTGGCGCGCACAGCTTGAGATGTTTGAGGCGCGTGCGTTTGACGATCTGCGGTCCATTATCAGCAAGTGACAAACCCAAAAACCCAAGCGAGAGACTATCAAGCGCTTTCGAGACCATCACCCGTGACTTTCGACCAGACGGCTGAAATTGAGCAAGCCGAGCCTGAGGCTTGCATGTGAATGCGGTTCACACTGGCGGAAATGAGCGTCAGGCTGTTGCGGTGCAGGGCTACAAAGCAGCTCAAATTTGCGCCCTGCGTGATAATTCAGCCTCAACCGCCTCGAGGATCATGTTAGTGCACGCTTGATCAGGCAGGGGCGGTGGCGGTGCTTGTCAATCAGATGGTCGTTTCATTGTCTGCTCAATGATCATGGTGGTGGTGATGGCTCACATGCACAACCATGGTGGTGGTGGTGCAAGCACCTGTGTTGCTGCCCTTTCCTGCCTGCGTACCGGACAAGGAGCATGGACCGCATCCAAAGTTCTGCTTCAAAACCTTTGCTGAAAAGCTTGTTCATAACTTTAAAACTTTAAAATTCAAAACTTTACCTATACATCAAATGTAAAGGAACAAAAGATTTTTTTGCGACAACAATTGAAACTTTGAAACGGATGTTCATGGTGGTGTGAACAACTGACTCTTTTGACGCGCCTAGGGACGGCGCCTGGGGCTCTGAGACGCAGCAGGCAGGCAAATGCAGCCCCGAAGAAGCAGCTCGGCCACGTGAGGCACCGGTTGCATGCACTCATGTGCTGGCGAGGCGGAAGAATTACGTCATAATGATAAACTGGTACGCACTGCCACTCAAGAATCCATGTATGTGTGCTTTTCCAGCGAGAGGCGCCAAGTTGCTCACCCAGGCGCGCGGCACGTTACGATAGGATCAAGAAGATATGCGCACTGAGGCTCTTGTCAAAGCGCTGAGCGCATTTTCAAAACGTGTTATGAGAACATTGAGCACGTTCGGTGCGTTCTAATGTCAAGACGTGGCATGGAGGCTACCATGCTCCCTGACGAATGCTGCTTTGCACCGTGCGTCCCCTGCTTGAGACAGCCGAGGCCAAAGCAGCTGCACCTTGAGTTCTGAAGAGCTCAGAGCCGACGGGACGGCCTCTGGCACGTCATGGAAAACGTGTGGGCCTGTATGACTTGATTGCAAGACAGTTTGACGGTGAGTGAGGCCTCGTGAGGACATTGCCCATTACCACACGCCGTCCCGAAGCGCTTTGGTTGATTTTGCTGACAGGGGCCCCTAGGCCATATTTCAGGATCGGCTGATGGCAGGGTAATGTCATAGCTTGTGCTTGTCAATGACTTGCATGTGTGCTACTCTGGGCAAGCACTGGCAGCTTGAAACTTTTGCAAAGGTGTGCGCTGCCGCTTGAGCCGACCGTGCGCGCCCTTTAAGACTTGTTGAGCTTTGAAAAGTTGACCACGCGCGCGCCTCCGTGACAGCCAGACAAGGACCAACCGACAAAACATGAGGATGCTGCACAGTGTCAAGCAAACACGCGCGATGAATTTCTCGAGATGTTTGCCTGCGATGCTGCCGTATTTAGGTACGCCCTGCCGTTCCAAGCGCTGGTCCGGGCTTGGCTTTGCTGGACGGGCTTCTTCTCATGGCGGGTTTCGGTCATGGCAGCACTTTTACATGGTCCATCTGCAGCTACTCAGAAGCTCGGGCGGTATGACGGGCGCATTTGCGCCGCTTGTGACGGTGTATAAAGTGTGTCTGTGGCCTTGTTGAGGTAGGCTCTGCCGTTTGAGCTGGTGGGCCTGGGTGAGGCCATTGAGGTGCTTTTCTGATGAGACACTCGGATACGAAGGATCATAGGTTGCTTAGCCTCACATATGTGATTAAAAAACACAGTCATGTTGCTTTCAGCGGGATATCATGGACATCAGCCGACGTTTCGAGCCAGGCGCTGCCCTGTGAGCCCGTGGGCGTGCGCGTGCCGTGCCGTGCCGAGCCTGGATGAGGCCTTGGGGGTCCTCAACTGATGTGCTTGGCTGCGAATGAACACGGGCTATTCAGGCGCACATGCTTTTGCAAAGGAACACGTCACGGTGCCTCGTGCGTGGGTGTATGGAAGTTTGATACCGTTGGGAGGTAGGCGCTGCCGTGGGAGCCCGTCGGGCCATGCCTAGCTCTACGGGTCAATACGGGCTGCCGTTTATCAAGGTGGCCCGTGAAGTGCAAATTGGTTCAAGCCGGAACGGAGGTAGGCGGCTCATGATGGAGTTTGTGTGGCACAGATGGGCCGCGTGTGAAAGTGGACTTGGCAAGAAGCATTACAGGACTGAGGGCAGCACACAGGTATGTACAATGTTCATCAACGATCATCGCGAGGCCAACCAAGCTGCCATTGCTCCCGAAAGCAAAAAGATCGTTCACTCATTCTCGCCCTGAATTCGGCTTGGTCTGATGAAAGTGTTTGATCGTCCAGGCGAAGTTTGCGCATACGAATTTGAACGCGGATGCCACCTGCCTCGCCCTCAACTCTTCAAGCTTTCCACCTTTCACGCCAATGTGAATGCTGCCCATCCTTCGCGCCGATACCACGGCTAGGTCGACACAACGCCAACTTCCCCATTTTCAATGCTTCTTCGACCAGCTCGCTGCCCAGTCCGCTTCCGCCTGCCATCGGCATTTGTCGCCTCCACCTCACCCATGCTTCCTGCAACGACATTACGGGCCTCTATCATGCACTTGGCAGCCTTTTTGATGATCGCTCCCAGCTCAAAGACCTCTGGGGCTTGACTCATGAATAACACCCCCAAACGGCGTGTGTGTCAAATAGCGAGAAAGGACCTAGCAGCATGCGGCTGCCCACCCTGTTTTGTTTGCACAGTGAAATTGATTCCAGCAAGTATGATCATGTTTCAATCGCACGCTCCTATCGCTGCTCGGCCAGAATCAGACATTCCTTTTGAAAAAGACAATTCACTAATGCGTCCGTTGAGGGGCTTCATGCTGCTGAAGCTATTGCTGACAGTCATCAGCGCTGGATGACCTCACCGAGGCGTGGCCGATGAATATCACTGATGACAGTGCGGCCAGCAACACGAGATTGTACCAGATTCTGACGCTCCATGATGTGGCCAGAGAAGTTGGACCGGCATCCAAAAAAAAATATTGTTTATTTTGCAACATGCAGCCCAACTTTGTCCCCCTGCCCGGACCTGACAGTAGCCATCTATTATGAAGCCATGCACAACGATGGCCCCGCCTGAAGGACCCAAGAGACTTTTGCCCCGAATTCCGCCGTGAATCCCCACGTCATCGTGGACAGCGGTTGATAAAAGGCTGGGTCTCCACTGGCGCAAGGGGTGCGCCCCGACAGTCATGCTTTTATACAGCGACGGCGAGTCATCGGCTCCCTCGACCTGATGGTAGCGTATCCCTAGAGACCTCGCCACCATTTGGTTCCGTGGAGCCATACGATCTGAGCTGCTTCGGTAATGACACACTAGTCGCAATCTGCACTCAGCCAAATAAACTCGTAGCTCGCCTTCAGCGAGCCGGCGCCTCCGGCAGCAACCTCGGCCCCAAGCTGAAATGGGATACCATTGTCTATCTTCTTTTTTCGTGTGTGTGTCTTTGGGAGGCATCTCGTGATTCAAAATTCATTGAGAGTCTAAGCGTTCAGCTTGGACACGGAGAGAGGCGGGGCAGTCGGCGACATCAAAAACAAGGCGGAGTCGTGCGTGTTGTGGCGGTAAAATGGTCGGGGCAGGTCTCCTTTACAAGGAATGTTTGTTGTTTTGCAGACTCAGGTGCTTGCTGAAGCTGTGGGCAACCAGCAAAGAGGGCAGCACAGGATGCGCAACGCTGCAACCATCAGCCAGGCAGCTCATATGCTCCTATGATTGCGTGCCGTAGTGCTTGCATGCCATGATGTTCAGTGACTGTTGTTGTGACTTGGGTGGCTTTGACATTTTTCGTTTGGCTTCAACAGAGGCAGCACGACGTGGCGTGCTTTTTACGTGCTGGCTGCTGCGTGCAGTATTGAAAGACGATTTGAGCTGAGACAGTTCAGCGGTTCAATTGCTCTCACAGGAGAGAACGATAGAAAACAGGAAGGAAAATATCCAAAAGAAAATGCCACTCACGGTCAGCGGGACCGTACTTATAATCTGGTGGCTAAACACACCTTGACTGTACGAGAGGGTTCCTCGACGGGCAACGGCAGGTGCACATCGTCGAGTACATTTATGCAATCCTTCCAGAGGGTTGTGGCAGGTGGTCGATGCTTGCACTCCGAGAACGTGTATGACCTTGGGACCGGTCTGCGAGCCATGCGAGCCAGAATGGACGAAATTCTCACCAAGGAGCTACTTTGTAATTCGGGGCTCGAGAAGCGAGTTTATGCTGTCCTGCCCTTGTTGCTGGACTCGAATCAGCCCGGCCCATAGGACATCGACGGTCATGACTTTTATACAATGCTGCTGGAGCCCATCTTGGAAGCTCCAGAGCTGGTCGAGGAGTTTACCATGCCCGATGCACCCGGCAAGTTTAGCATAGAACCAGTGTGGCGCTGGATCTGCTCCCTGCGAGAGTTTAATCGCCTGGCATTGACGTATGCACACCTCTCAACTGGTACGTCTGGTAGTCTGGACGTACGAACATATTATTACTGTACACAACGCAGAGTTTCACCATACACCCGTGCATAGGTCTCCCCGTGCGTGCGATGGTATACACGAGCCTTTTCTATCGCGACTCCTCCGCCAGCCCCAGAAATGTCTTCTTCTCCGGAGACCGCTTGGCGTTTGTCACGCGACGAGGCAAAACCACATGGATCAGCAACCGCGAGTCGCATGCTCCACGCTACATGGACACGCGGGCCAGTGCGGTCATGATGGCGTACCTGTTATTGTGCAAGCCGCTGGAGGAGCTGTTTGCTGATTACTTGCAAGATCGAGACGAATTGATCACGTCTGAGGCGATAGATCCCACTTCCCTGACGGAAGAAGAGCAAGATGAGCTCGAGGCCGACGCGATGAAGGTCGAAGATTCAATCGAGCCAGACACTGTTGGCTCTGTTGACGACCAGCACGACGATCTACGAGCGGCCAAGCGTGTCGCACAGGAGGGCACGTATGAGCTGCTGTTCAACATTGCGCCAATGCAGCTCGAAAAACAGCTTCGGCCAGGCCAAGTCTACCGAACCATCCAGGCCGTGACCAAGCGGTTTCTTGGAACCAGCATCACTGTCAGCGCATGGCGGCACATGAGCGTGGCTTGGCTGCGTACACTGGTGTTGCATCATACGCCCGAGCCTTCATTGGGGGCGTTGAATGTGGCACACTCTCAAAGCCAGCATGCAGGCAGAACGGCACGCAACGTCTATGGCCGCACGCAGCTCGATCACAAGTTTGTGTCCAGTGAAGCACAGTACGGCCATCAGTTTGTGTCTGAAGAATGGCACAAGCTCATGAAGCTGGTAGATGTAGAGGATCAGATCCAAGCCGAGGCCGTGGATGGGCAGACCTGCGTGCAACAAGTGGTTCATAAACAGGTGATCATCCAGTCGTCTCGGGTCAGAAACGTCAGCACACAGGTGCAAGCGACCGTGGGCACGCAAACAGATCCCGAGGTTGAAGCCTGCCTTGATGCTGAGGACGACATTGACGATATCATTGCCGGGTTGGATTTAGACGAAGCCGAGGCAGCCGAATCGTCCATGCCAGTTGCCGTGCTGCGAGCCGTGGAAGAGGCTGCGTCGACGGCCTTGCAGCAAGAGCCAAGCCAGCACAATGACAAAACGCAGCAAGAAGAGTGTGAGGATCAGCTTTGGCTTGCTCAATGTGTGCGGCAAGCGTGGAAGACAACATTTCGCGACTGGGATCAGTATCGATTGGCACAGGCTGTGACTCGGCACGAGGCCCAGGACGGCTGGCTGTTGGCCGTGGCCCCGACGGGCATGGGCAAGACGCTGTGTACACTTGCTCACCTCCAGCCACGCAGGGTCGTGGTGTGGGTAGTCCCGCTTCGTGAGCTTGCCAGAGACTTGTGCCGCCGCTTCGAGCAGGCTGACATTGTATCGCAGTGGGCTAAGAATGATGGCCGTGACATGCAAGTCAACGTTCAAGTGATTGTCATGACGGTTGACTTTTTGGTTGGCCATGGGATGAGGTGGGTGCAAACACTCGTGCAGCAGAAACGTCTGGCCATGCTGGTGATGGACGAGGTTCACACAATGCTCGTGGACACTAGCTATCGAGACAGCCTTGTTCGCTGCCCAAGCCGGCTGGACCATCTTCGCCAAAACCCATCTGTCAAGTGTGTGAGCCTGACTGGCACGCTTTGCCCCAAAGATGAGCGGGCTCTGCTCCA